GCATGAGATCCTTATTCGTATCTGTTCTTGAACATTTTCTGGTGTGAGATAATCGATGTTTCCTAACCTCTTTATGGCGAGCCTCAAGCGCATCCTCCGACAGTTCTCCAATGGGCAAACAAAATGCATCAATTATCTCACACCCATAAACAAGGACCTTATGTACCGTGTTTGGCATGTTGTACCACTTATAAAGGTGGATATACAAATTTCTTGCTTCTTCCAGCAATGACGCAAACTTTTCCATATCAATAGCGCAACCACTAGCTAACACTCCTAAGATGATCGCAAATTTCTCGATTAATTCCCTGTCAACCCCTGTGATATCTGAACTTGTTTGTGGATTGTGGAAAAAAATTCTGGCCGTATTGCCATCATTTGAGGAGCCATACCCGGGTTTTGGTTTGTCAACTATTAGAGACAGCTTGGCTCTGAACTCTGCTTGGATTCGTTTTTTGTTTGCTTCGACTATAGCTTTGTTTTCAGGCCCACGAACCTGCCAAGATTTAATTGGCAGGCGATATCCAATATGGAGTAAGCATTCAAAAAAATGAATCCAGCAGTGTAAAGTTGACAAACCAAACCGGTAATTGTCTACGTTAGGAGGACGGTTAATCCCTGCTAACGTGTTCATGTCCTTGGGTGTGGCTCCGCAAATGATGCACTTAATAGTTGAATTTGTCTCTGATAGAACGTTTCCAACACTGCCGTCCAACATTGTTAACATCATATCAACTTCAATAATTTAATAGTGCCCTTCTTTTGTTTTAATCTCAATAGGAATCATTTTTTCAATTTTTGTTATTATTTCCTTTTCCGTATTCCGCACTAAATCAGCATTTTCCTTTTTAAATACAAACTTGATCGGCTTACAATATAAAGTAGATGAAGGGCTCTCATTTTTCCACAATACCTTATGCGTTTCCATATCAATCAATCTGAGTGGCGTTATTGCTACAAGAAACAGAAATTCGTCGGTGTTTTCTAAATCAGAAAATTTCTGCTTATATTGGCTATGCCCAGAACTGCCATCAAATCCCCACTTGCATATCACTTTAATCCGGCAATCTCTCTCTTCAAAATTTATTATTTCAAGGATACTTTCAGCAGTTTTCTGTAGAAGTTCTTGCAAATCAACTTCTGCAGAAATTTCAGTAATAAGTAATAAATTGTGAAGGGAGGATAGCATTTTTTGTTTTCTGTAATTCTTTATAACTAGGAGGGCAGTTCTGGGCCTTACCATTAATAACAGACCTAAGTAGCAAATACTTTCTTACGGATATATCCAAATCTACCATATGGGCTAATGCTTCAGCTGTACTAAAACTAAAAATTTGTGGCGAGACCTCACTGTGATTGCTTCCAGAAACGACATTTACAGCAAGTTGAAGTTCATTTGCAGATCTGTCTGTGGTTACTTCGGCTACACGTCTTCGTTTTGTTTTCTTCGATGCCTCTTCAAATGGCACCCGTGGCCGTCCAACTGAGCGACAAGGAGGTTCTTGTTCCTCATCCGAAGATGTGTTTTCTTCAGAATCATTATTTATTCTATATATAATCTTGTCTAACCAATATACCTGATTTTGTAAAAGTTGATTCCGAGATTGTCCTACTTTCTTCCATTTATTTGCCATTTTCAACCCAAACAACTGGCTGCATTTCATAATATTACTTTTAAGATGTTTGGAAGGTTCATCTGTTATATCAATAAGAGATAAGTAATATCTTTTCATAAACCACCTGTTTTCTATTTCCTCTCGGTGCTTCTATCTCCCTCAGACGTGGCATGACGTGATTTAAACTTTTTATCAAAACTTACTATGGACAGATAAACAATAAATAAAAAAATTTTTAGGGTGATGGGAGGTGATTTTTGTAAAACTATAAACAAAGTCAAAAGTTTAAAAAAAATTAAAAAATCGGTAATAGTCACTTTAACTTAAAAAATTATCTAATTATAATTATATTTTAAATAAATCTATACATCAATATAATGTACTTACCAGCCTCATTACCAGCCATATTGGAAAAGTTAAAATATTTAAATATTTCGACACAAAATTTATATCTTTCCCGAGCAATAAAACAAAGAGATTTTTCGCCTTCTTGACAGGTCTCGACATGTCTAACTTTAAAGTTGCTAAAATAGGTAAATCGCAGCCAACTTGATTAAAGTACTATACTTACGTGTTGCAATGACTATTTATCTATCCAATGGTTTAATAAAAGCAACAGAATTCTAATGTCAAAAATTATGTTTTTGAGTATTTTGTCCATTGGGCGCCACACTGTGCGACGTGTAGATATTGAACACATAAGCAATTTTTCGTAGTACCATATACACCAATGTCTTAAGGGAACCGGAATAAAGGGCTCTGCAACATCAAAAATATCTGAATACCGTCCTGTAGCCGCGATATCCCCGAGTGGTACTAGGACACTAGCTCAACCCGACGACAGAACTGGGTCGGGGTCAGTGTGTCACTGTGTCAGGTCAGTATGCAACCTTCAACCGACGGTTACGGTCACCGTGTAGAGGTAATCGCGTAGACGAGAATCCCTCAACAAGCACTAGAGACGTGGCTAGAGAAGTGCAAGTATCAAAAACTAAAGTGTGGCAAACGCTGCGTGAAGAGAGGCTGTATCCGTTTCACGTCCAATGTGTACAAGCCCTTCAACCTGACGATTTTCTAGCAAGAGTGCGGTTTTGTGAGTGGATGTTGCATCAACATGACAATAATCCGGACTTTTTGAAGTGCATATTGTGACAGACGAATCTACGTTCACGCGTAATGGGGTGAATAACTTTCGGAACACTCATGTTTGGTCAGTAGAAAATCCGCACGCTGTCCGTCGGGCACAACAAACATTTTCGGTGAATGTTTGGGCTGGCATGGTGAACGGTATGCTCATTGGACCATTTATTCTCCCAAATCGATTGGACGGGATACAATACCTAGACTTTTTACGCAACATTTTGCCTTCCTTGTTTGCCTTCGTCTGCCCGGTAGCGCATCAGCTGATTTCATTTTCTGTTGGAGCGGTATGATTTCGGGCAGAGACGTACTTAGCCCTTCTCGTCAACTGGAGAGTGATTACTTTTTCCTTTATTTTTTTTACTTGGTCGCCCTCGATTCACTACACATTACCTTTGTTATTTCAAGGGTAGTTGTTTCTGAAAAGGAAAACCCCAACTTTGCGGACACCCTGTATATATATACAGGGTGTTCCATAATTATTGCGACAAAATGATAGGGGTTGTAGAGGGCATCAAAATGAACAATTTTGCCTTATAAACCCCTGTTCGGAAATATGCCGTTTGGGCTGCAGCAAAAAAAAAAGATCAGTTTCTTGAATCAGCTTACCTACAGTAATTGCTCAAAATGTCCTCCACCTTGCTCAATATACAGCTGTGCACGATTGTTCAATGATCGGCGAACTCTGTGGCATACCCCCGGTATGTCCTGAACATGTGCGGACGCGGCCATCAGTAGCTCTTGTTGGTTGGGAACAGGAGTTTCGTACACTAAAACTTTCAGACGGCCCCAGAGAAAATAATCCAGTGGGGTCAATTCGGGCGACCGCGCAGACCAAGGCACAGGGCCACCTCGGCCTATCCACCTATTTGGAAATTTGTCGTCCAAATACTGCCGCACTTGTAAAGAAAAGTGGGCTGGAGCGCCATCGTGTTGAAACCACATGTTGGCTCTTATGTTTAGTGGCACATTTTCTAATAGTTCCGGTAGCACATGCTGTAAGAATCGACCATAAGCATGCCTATCCAAACGTGGTGGAAGCAAATATGGCCCGATGATATGCTCGTCCACAATGTTAATTGAAAACTGATGTTGGTCTCTATGGATGGCTATGGCATGAGGGTTTTCTTCATCCCAAATGTGACTGTTACGGCTATTAAAATAACCGTCCTTTGTAAAACAGGACTCGTCAGTGAACAAAACGTAGCGACCAAAGTTTGGTTGCCTCAACTCCTGCTGCAGCCACCAACGACAAAAACGTCGACGCGGCAGATAGTCTGCTGGACCCATGGCTTGGACTTTTAAAAGGTGGTACGGGTGTACGATAACAAAAATGTAAACACAGCAGGCTTTTTCTACAAACCGGCGAGACCATGAAATGTGCTAGACGAACATTTTGCAGCTGGTGAATTTTTTGTTTCTCCTATGAGCTCTTAAGGTAAAATTAGCGGTAGTGCTCAAACGGTATATTTACGAACAGGGGTTTATAAGGCAAAATTGCATATTTTTATGCCCTCTACAACCCCTATCATTTTGTCGCAATAATTATGGAACACCCTGTATAGATAGAAAGCCCCTTTTGTAGCAACGGAAACAGATGTATTACATAACAAACATACATCTTTACCTTCATCTTCTTACTACTGCTCATAATGTTTTTAACTGTAGGCCAACTGTAACCCAACCGCTGGACTTTGTGCCGTTCAGTTTTAAACTGAGCGCACTCTCGCCTCGCCTTGAGTATTTATTCCATTCAAAGTAATCGAGATCGTTCTCGAACAGATCGCTCACCGCAGTGTTGCCGCTGCTTGTGTTTGTTATGAGGATTTACAAAATTTACGGAAGCTTTTATGATTTTTATACCCTTTTAAAATATGTTGTGAGCCACCAGAATTGCCTTTGCGAGCTACAAGTATCTCGCGATCGGCGGGTTGGCGATCACCGCGTTAGACGATTTTTTCTACCAACTGCGCATGATTTATAACGAAATTTGGTACAAAATTTTTTTTACGTGTCAGACAATATTGTAATTGGTAAACAAATTGGGAGCTAAATTCAGTAACTTATGAACAAAATTTTGTATCGTGACAGACGGCCTTTAGCGGATCTCATGACAGACATATCCCGTAACACTAGCATACGGTGTGCATCACTCTGCTCTCTTTTTGAGTTCCTTACTACAGCTAAACATTTTTTGAGGTTTTCTTGATGTGTGAGCGTCATTGTCTTGTAGTGAAATATTACCTATCAAGTGAACTGCTCCTGAACCAGCAATATCAACGGCGCCCATTTTTTTCAAAAATCCGTGTTCTCCCCATACCCAGCCTGCAGGTATACAGTAAATGAATGTATTCAAGAAACTAAACAGGCAGTATGCTTTGAAATTGCACCTAAAATTAATATCCATTAAACACGTCATTCTTATGAATAAGCTACAGTTTATATCCTAAGGGGAGGCTGCCTAGATAAATGGCAACAATGCCATTTCTCTTTTGTTACTAAACTAGATCGTATAATATTCCCCGCAGGGCCTTAAAAGTTAAATAGCTGTGTGATAACTTACAGATTTAGAGAGTAACTTCTTTTTTTCGTAATGTGATAATTCATACTTGAGAGTGCTCCCCGCTTTGTGAAAGTATAACCTGTAAGTTATCACGTAGCTATTCGACTTTTAAGGCCCTACGCGGAATATTACATGATTTAGTTTACTAACAAAAGAAATGTTTGCTTGATATTCAAATTTTTTCTAACCGCAAATTACGTATTTAACCAATCATCGGGGTACCTATTTGACATGGTTGCTAGTTATAATATGTACATCTCCATTACAAGCAAAATCAAGTGCCGGTACCTGAGTCAGTAAATTATTGAAATGGAATCGCAGGGATAAAAAAATATGTCTTCGGATCATATTTATAAACGCTCCATGAGGATTGAGTGCTGTTTGAGAAATGATCTCTCCCTGAATTTCAAGAAAATAATATCGGTTTATTGAAGGACGTTCAAGAGAGGATTTTACATTTTTATTTAACAATAGACTGTAACAGTATTCAGTTTTTCAAAATTCGGACATTTTTCAAAACTTTGAAAGTTTCCAACATTTTCAATACAACATCATCAGGGTTTTGTATACCTACTTTTATAATTTCCGAAATAATCAGCATTTTCAAAATTTAAATATTGCCAAAATCTCGGATATTTTCAGAATTTTCCAAATTTTCAGAATTTCGAAATTTTTCAAATTCTTTTTCAAATTACAGTAGCTTTTAAAATTCTGAAATGCTATGCTAAGCACGCAAAATGTTTTTGAAAATCGGTTCAGGGGCTACGGTAAAAACGGACAAAACAAAAGAATAAAAATCACCGAAACTTCGTTTTTTTTGACGTTTCAGACGAACCTGATCATTTCCGGAAAAATTATGTGAGGTTAAAAATTGGTGGTTAGGGATTGCAGGAGGTGGGGGAGGATATATCTCTAGTTTTTTACGTTGGTATATTTATATGCATCCAACCTCAGTAATTCTACGCACATATTATGCATATTTCACACATCATGTCCCCGTACATTTACTCTTAAAACTTAAGAATATCTCCTACAGTCAATACATGCGACGTGGTCCCCCGATGGACAAGCGTCGGCTTCGGTGGTCATTCGTTACAGTCGGCAATCGCTTCCGTACTGCTGTGGACTGTGTACACTGTGCATGGTGAAGGCATCGTCTTTCACGCGGGATTGTCATCTCAACGACAACGGCGGATCCAGGATTTGTGTCTGGACTTCATATTCAGGAAGATGTTCATCTTCTCGTCTTGGCTAGCGGACGGATGGAATATGACAACCCTACCCTTGTACCCTTCGGGTACAGCCTGAATGTGATTAAAATATTAAATCTAATTTAAAAATGAACAATTTATTGTTAAATAACAAAACTAATTCTTCTTTTTTGTCTTCCTACGTATCGATGTATGACCTCTTCCGTATCGACATGTACATCTTTATGGATAGAGTTTCTCCACCACGTCGTGAGTCTCCTGAGCATAGAAAAGGACGTCTCTGCTGTCACTACACTAACTGGTAGTGTAGCAAGGATACATAAAGACTTTTTGATGGTAGGATACATTTCAGCATCACAATTTTCAATGAGATCGAGAATTGATACCGGAATATTCTACTTTCGCTGCCATTTTGCCATCCACAGCCGATATTCATTCATAATTATTAAAGTAGGTGTATTGTCCAGGAACGGTTGGTACTCGATTGATAGTTGCTTAACGTTTTCTAAATCTTCACTCGTATAAGTGATTCTCGGAATAAAAACCCCTAGCTAATGTTTCTGGAGATAATCGCTCCTGAAGATCAGTAATTACAGCGTCCAGAAGGGGGATGTACACAGCCCTTCCAAATTACTCTTCAGGCGTCTGAGCAGGTACATTATTTGCCCTCTGTGTTTGTGATACTATCCTTGGACATCTAATATCGACGTCTAAAAAATAGGCTCTTTTGCCTCATCGAAAAGTTATCTAAAAACTATATCTGCCTGTTCGACCGAACAGCATTAAGAAGAATAATCGTAAAAAACAGGCGTGCCAATTAGTTACATACAATTAAGTGCTCTGTGGGGTGACGCTGTTGGAAGGAGAATTTCGAGGTCCACAACTCATAGAGAGGCCCACAAACTGGGATTTAGCACTTGCCAGGTAAGTTTTCTTATAAAAAAAAAGTGAAGTAAAAACCCCTTAAGTTGCACAACTTGTTTATAGGCCAAAGAAAAGTCACTACTAACTCCACTGCAAAAGAAAAATCGGCTTAAATAGGCTAAAGAACATAGACAATGGATACCTCAACAATGGTGTGCAATACAATGGAGTGATGAGGCCCGATTCGAAGTTTGTGTTGGTGACACTCGCAGTAGAGTTATTCGCAAAAAAATGAAGCATTCCATGTTGACTGTCTGAAGAGAAAAGTGAAATTTCCAGCATCCATTATGGTCTGGGGCAGTATGTCATCAAAAGGAGTAGGAAAACTTTATTTTATTGATGGAAACGTGGATACAAACAAATATTTGGCAATTTTAGAAGAATCGCTTTTACCAGTGATGGAAGAATGTTTGACATCCGGCCAAGATTTTGTGTTTCAGCAAGATGGTGCAGCGTGCCATACCTCAAAAAAGGCTATAAAATGGATGGAAGAAAATAATGTACCACTTTTGAAATTTGTTTCTAGCAGTCCAGATCTGTCACCTATTGAAACTTTGTGGCACGAGATGAAAAAGGTTCTACGACAACATCCTGCTCGTACAATCACCTAACTGAGACAAAAGCTTCAAGAAATGTGCGATTGTTTTACACCAAATTTTTGCCAAAACACTATGCCCCAAAGAATTTCAGCCGTAATAAAAAATAAAGGTGATGTTACCCAATGGTAATCTTTCAATTGTTGCTTTGTTAACTTCGCGCATTTATTCGCACATTGTTTATTTGTTCAGATGTTCTATTAGTTATAGGTCTAAGTGATTTCAAATATGTTTTTTTTACGACTAGAGTGTATCTAAAATGTTTTTGAGAAAATAAATTGTTTTAGAAGTAAATAGTCTCGTCATGTTTAGTTTATAAAGGCATATTTTGGTACAAATCTTGAAGTGGGCCAACTGAAGTGGGAAGGGGCTCGTAGATATTACATTTATATCTACATCAAGCTCACCGTATAGGCAACCAGTCTTGTGCTATCATCTATGAGCTTACAGTTAAATCAAAGTGGACGGATGCAGTGTTGCCAGTGTTTAGTAGAAAATACCAGTACGGCATCCATTTAATATGTGCGCATTACAGATTTATCTAAGAGATTTGGAACTTTAAAAATTGGTGGTTGAACTAAATTCGCCTGGGGGGGTCATAACCCTTGATCCGCGCCTGCTCAACGATCATGTGCGCATGCAGCAATTCCTCACAGAAGGAGAAGGAGGTTGTTTAATTTTTTCTTATACATGAATGCATGTTATACTTTTTTCTCAGAATGCGTAGAAGCGTAGGAAGTACAGAGTCAACAAATGTAAATGTCAAATCCTTCCTTGACCGTTTCTGAAGGAAGCATTATTGTTTACTTAAAAACCAAATAGATTTTCCTCAAACAGCGCCCAATCCCCAAGGAACGTCTATAAATGTGAACATGCATCGCCGCAACATGTGCCTACAACTTTGAAAAGATATCGAGGATGTCAAAATCGACACTTACCTTTCAGCCATTGCGCCACTGACAATCGTGGTAGCGGTGGTAGCAAAAGATAACTGAAATATAAACGCAGCGTAAACTCCGCCTTTCAAAGGATCGCTCAAAGGTGGGTCTATGAAAAAGTCTCCAAGTGCCACAAATCCAGTGTTTGAGTCGCTTCTTCCGAATGACAAGGCGAAACCAAATATCCAGTAGGTCAGCCCTATGAGTTTTGACATTGATTAACGTATTCTATCTGAAGATAGCAAAGCATATGTATGTGTATTCCAGAGTCCTTTAAATGGATCAGTCATATACTAGCGCCAACTACGAGACAGTAGCAGAACACAAAAATGGGTTATAAATCTACGAGGGCCATTTCTAAGGCCCGTATCGTCAGTTGTCCCTACAATTGTAGGGCACCTTTATGGCCTCCTTGATTGTCATAGTTTTCTACTTCTCCGTGTCAGCGCTCTATTTTGAGGTTATGTCACAAACATCTATTTGCATCAAATTGTGCTTGCTTTTAAGTTATATCATGTTTTATCAGCCTGAAATTTCCTACAATTTAAAAAGAAAACATATCTTCACAATAGAAGAGCGCTGACGCTGACACGGAACGGGTGCAATCTAGAAATTTTTGAAGGAGAGAAAGGAGTATGACAATCAAGGAGGCCATAAACGTGCCCTACAATTGTAGGGACGACTGACGATACGGGCCTAAAGAACGACAGGGGTATTATGTAACTTGTGATATTAGTCTTGTTCCAACCCGTCGGAGAACCGTTCTATAACGGTGATCCTCATGCGCGTTTAGCAAAAATTCTTCCTACATATTCTGCATAGTAACGGAACAGTTCTACATTTCGTTCCAACCAATATTGGGATCGTTCCGGAACGATTTTGTTACAGTAAACTCGGTACCTGCATTGAAAGGGAAATCAAAGCGACTGACCGGCGCAGTAGAACTGTTGTTAGGTGATTGACATTGTTATTTGGTCGATTTTTGGGTAGTTAGGCCGTCAACTTGACTGGTTGGCATCTTCAGGTGTTCACAGTTCGGAGTCCTGTGAGCTACTGACTTTTTGACAATTAGGTTTTTTATGGCATTATGTAGGTTCTCCTACAAGATGTCAACTAGGAAGTAGCATGCGCGGAATGAACTACGAGGGTAGTCCCAGAAGTACCCGACGAAACGAAGAAAACACAAAAATTTTGTAAAAAAATGTATTTATTTTTCAACATAGTCTCATTTGAGCTCTATACACTTTTCCCAGCGATGATCAATAAGTTCGATACCCTGTTTACAATAAGAACTGTCTTGCTCCTCAAACTAGCCATTAACTACCGACATCACTTCTTCATCGTTGGAAAATCTTTGACCACTGTGTCATTTTTTCAAGTTTGGAAACAGAAAATAATCCGAGGGGCTAAATCTGGTGAATAGGGTGCATGATGTAGCAATTCAAACTTTAATTCGTTAATTTTGGTCATTACAATAACGGTTTTGTGAGCTGGTGCATTGTCTTGATGAAACAACACTTTCTTCTTAACCAAATGCGGCCGTTTTTGCTTGGTTTCATCGCTCAAACGCGCATCCCAAAAAACCGACGCCATAACCTTGCCTGCAGATGAAACGGTCTTCGCCTTCTTTGGAGCCGGTTGTCCCTTTTGAGTCAATTGTTTTGATTGTTCTTTTATCTCGGGTGTGAAGTGATGGACCCATGTTTCATCCATAGTTATGAAACGAGGCAAAAATTCTGCTTTGTTGCTGAGAAACTTCGCTAAAAACTCAATTGAAACATCTTGACGACACTGTTTTTCCTCGATTGTGAGCAATCGGGGCACCCATCTTGCACACAGCTTTCTCATGTCCAAATTTTCAGATAATATGCGATGAACCGCACTTTTTGAAATGCCTACTATGTCTGCTAGCTCGCGCACTTTCAGTCGACGATCATTCAGTACCGCTTTGTGAATCTTCTTCACCATTTCTGGAGTCGTCACCTCATTTGGTCGACCACTTGGCGGCTCATATGGCCTCGTTTAAACTCTGCTACCCAATGTTTTACTGTTGTAAACGAAGGAGCAGACTCACCCAGAGTAGAATCCAGTTCAGCTTTTATTTTGAAATAAAAGTATTGTATCACATAACGATGACCAATTTTCTCCATTTTCACAAATTCACTGAACACGTTCAGTATTGATGGCTGCCAAACAAATACTAAACAACGTGGCGTCTTCAAACTTAATACACATGCTTTATAGGTTGCATACTTTCTAATACAATGATATTTTTCAAACAACTATTGCCATCTCTAGGTCAGGCCGGGTACTGCTACCCTCGTATTTGGACACTACTAGCTATATAGTCAACAAGTTGACAATTTATCATTTGACATTATATAGGTTTTTTACGATAACCCCGTCGATTGCGCAATTCTGAACCACACATATCAGTAGATATGCTCTACAGACTATCTCGCCATTCTACAACCAACAAAGCATGATGGTTAACTGACTTGCAGATTGCAGCATGGTCATTGAGCGTGTTCTGTCGTCCTCCATAGATGGACGCTTTTGATGACGCTCACAGCGCTCATAACGACCAAACTAGGAACTATCTGGGCAGCAAGCTGACATTTTGTCATTTTTTTTTTTGAAGTATTATAGGTTTTTTACCTGGATGAAAATTGTTTCGTATGCGTTATTCAAAGAGTATAGTCGAAATCACGAATGATGACGATCACGTCATCATTTTAGTCTGTAGTAAAGACAAACGATAGCGATTTGTGAATATATTTAATGAAGTTTCTGATATGTTAGACAGAGACAAACAGAATTTTATTGTCTAAACGAACTGTATTGCTAGTATGCATGTAACCGACAAAGATAGACGATGTTTTCATTTCATGTTGCATGATTGATCATATTTGAAAGATGAGTAGTTAGGTTATGTTAAAGCAGGTTAGGTTGTTTTCGAATAATACTTTCGTCTTTGGTGTTCCTGTCTTAAGGTATTCTAATCATAACTGTTTTTTTCGAAACAAAAACTCGCCACTAAAATTATTATTAAGGTATCACTCTAAACCATGAAATAAATTGAAAATAAAAATAATCAGTGAAATAACCTAACTTCGCAAAATCATAATATAAATTTGTTGTCATTATGTGTGATTTTATCATCGATGTACGACCATTGATTACTTCAGTAGAATGTAGGGTATGACGTAATAGTAATCTTTCGTAATTTTGACTGTATGTATGTCATAAGAATATTTAGAGAAAATCTATCTTATGTTAATCAAAAAACTATACTTACCACCTAAAACGATATCTACAACATTCTTCATCATTATATTAACTTCGTTTTTTATAGAAACGCAACCAGATTCTAGCATACCAAAACCTAGTAAGAATATACTTAGCTGATACATTTGGATTAAATCATTGATGAGGAAATTAGATTTCTGTGTCATAAAATATAGCAAAAAATCGTAATGATTCAGATCAAAGAAGACAGTCATTCGGCATATAAAATATGAGATATTTTGACAAAATTTAGTGCTTTCATTTGATTGATACCTATTTCCATTTATGATGCATATGTGACCAATCAGCGCGTACCATAGTGTGAAACAAGGCACGGCAGCGAGCTTAAAGTGCACTGGTAATTTTTTTTATATACAACTTTGAAGTTGAGTCATTAATTTTCAGATAATGATTGTAGAAGGAAGATAAACCAAAATATGTGTGTAAAAATAAAAAAAAAAATAAAAAAAAACGTTACCTTGTTTTATAAAGTATCCTCCCGACAAGTATTTCAGTGCGGACCTGTATTTGACCGTGCGGTCTTGGAGCACCGGCATGCCCTCCCCTGTGAGGTCTTAAGTCACCTGATTCACGAGCCCTTTGTACTACATTAACAAAGGCACGAGGGGTTGGTTGCACTCGATTGGGAAACCGATCCGCATAAATCCGTCATGCCGCGTAAATAAGAATCGTGTCCACAAGTTCAGCATTTTCGTAAACATGTGCCATTTTTGATTTCGTCTGAGCCACGCAACAGACACCACTATTCACTCACGCGTTACCGGCTGACACTGACTGTATACAACTGAATAAAATAATTGTAAAAACATCGTTCCAAATTCTTTCGCTTTTTTGTTTCCGATGCGATGAACCGATAAGGCGGATTATATCCGTTGTTGCCAAACACGAGCACATAATATTATTATTGAGACAGGGCGGTACTCAAACTTCCAAAGGGCTATAACTTTGTTACTTTAATTTTACCAGAAAAATGGTAAAGGAAAAAAACATTTCTTTTATCAGATCTACTCACTGTTAAAATAAATGACTCAACTTCGAAGTCACCCTGTATAATGACACTATTAAATAAATTAACCATCCGTAGTCTAAGGTGCTAAACTTGATCTGATAGAATCACAGAATTGTTATTAAATACCTGTCTGCATTGTGAATATCATGAAAGAACTAGTAATAACCCAGTTCGTGTCCTCAGGGCTGATGTCAAACAACCACGGTATATGAGCTGTCTCATTATTAGTGGTGGAATTAACTATTGTATCAGAGGACATAATGTTACTCCCGACATTTTATCTATTCATCTAGGTTTAAATAGTCAGCATAGCATGTCTTCTGTAGGTAAACATGTTAATATTTAAAGGCAAAAGTGGGAAGCGATTAGTGTACCCGAAACCTTGACCACCAATTTCTACTTTTCCATTCTTAATTTAGACTTTAAATGGTCGGTTAAAAAAATAGAAATTGATTTTCCTTTACTTCACATGTCAGGTTAGAATTGTAGAAATCTGGAATTTTCAATCAGCTACAGTTACAACGATTACGAATGCCGGAAGGAGGTTATTAAACTTTCGCTCAGTTTTTTAGCTATTGTTCTTATTTACGCGGACTGACTAATAAGTCATTTTCATACTTGAGACGAGTCAAAATGTCTTTTCAGGTATGGTCTGGAAATTTTACGTTCCAAGATATAGCAATAAACGTGAAAAAAAGTATCCGCAAAAATCATATTTTCCTAACTTAACTCTTGTTAATTAGTTTCCGCTCGTCGTCAGCCTGGCGCATATTATATATTTTTGTGATACAAGTCTCCTGAAACAACTGCAGTATGAACCTGGACTACTTAAAAAAAATCCACCTACCACTTATCGGAAAAACCACTTCTCGCTCTTGTTACACAAATTACTATTTTCATACAGATCGAAGCTTGACCACTCTGGCAACACTGCTTACTGCGAGTATCAGATCCGGGAGCCTCTCAGCTGCGAGCATGGTACGAGTATTTGGAGTTCCTCCATAAATTTGACTTGTCATCATGACAGGAATTTGTCAAAGAATTCAAGATGGCGAAAGCCAGCTTGACGTTCTAGATTGCAAACACTTCTTAATTTTTAATTTAATTATTTGGAACTAAAAATACCCAATGGATTTTATAAGATTTTAATTTTTTGCGTGTGTGTAATTGTGTAACTAAAAGGAAACAGCTCCAGAAGCAATAAGATCTTAACAAAAACTAGGTAAATTAATCAAGAAGGTCACGCAGAACGAAACTTTTTTTATTTAACTAGACGAAAATACATTAGAAATATTAGAAGTGGGTATTTATCAAAGTGCCTTCCCCAAGGAATTGAGTAAAACGAATATGAAAATTATAAAATATACACACAGAGTATTTGACAATTGCTAGAGCAAAACAGTATTTACATTCTCCTACTGCCTACTTGATATAATAAACTGAAAAAGGACAAAAAACAGAGAAAGCTCCAGGACCTTCTAAAATATCTTCAACCATGGAGGCAATGCAATATGAAATGGCTCGAAACATGACACTATTATTTTTCTTTGAACGGCTGTTGGACAAAGGGGAACCTAGAACCTTGCATGATTTGAGCTGTCAGTTTGGATCTAAAGGCTTTACAAAAGAAATGAGACAGATAGCTGGAGGTAGCCAGAGTGGGCTGAAAAAGTTTCTTTCTCAATATCCAGCCTTATTTTGCATAGATGCGGATTACGTGACCATCAACGCTTTCCAACATAATAGCTGCAAGGATAGCACAGGTAACTACAATATTTTTTGTGTGCAAATATAGATATTATGAACTTTTATTAACATATACTAAAGTTGCTTAAGGCTTCACAAAATCTGGTGCCCTAATTTTTGCTTTAGGAGAAATTGATGACAGGTTCATAATTGCATTTGATTGAGATTATAGGTTAAAAATAGAACAGACAATGATCTGATAAATGTCTTATTTGGCAGTTAGCAGTTTACTGAAGATAGAAATAATTAGAGTGTGAAACCAGCCCTTAGAAGGTTTAATATTGTTGAAAATGATTGCATTTTTTATCACAGTCAAAATTTAGTGGTTAAGATTCACAGATCTTATGAACATACTATGTAATTTTTCGTATACAGTAATGAACAAAAAAAGTATATAGACAAATATTGTGCTGTATTTCTTTTTTAACTTGTTTAATTACACCATAAAGGTCCCATCCCAAACCCCGAAAAGCACCTCCAAAGCATAACAGACCCGCCTCCATGTTTGACAGTGGGCAAAGTGTACTTGGGGTTCAATCTTTGTCCACTAGGACGTCTAACATAATGAACACCATCTGATCCAAACATATTGAACTTGGATTCGTCACCAAAACATACCCAGTCACTGTTGCTCCAATCAAGAAGCAACCCTTCAAATTGTAATCGGTCCTTACAATTTTTCTTAGAGATTAGTGGCTTCTTACTCGGGTGACGTGCAAATAACATCAAATCATTTAATCTTCAACTTATAGTTTTCGTAGATACACTGACAATTCCTTTTGTCTCGATTTCAGCGTTTATTTGTCTTGGAGCTTTAAACGGATCTTTGGACGAAATTACTTTTATTAATCTAACTGATCTAGCATTTAGTTTTCTAGGCCGACCACTTCTCTTAGAGGCTTCCCAGATACCTTTTTGTTTATATTTGTTCAATATTGCCTAAACTGTTTTACACTTCAGCTTCAAATTTTTGGCAATGTCGACTTGACGTTGACCATCTTTGTATAACTCAATGATCTTAGTTTTCACATCGAAAGAAATTTCTGGACCATGCAGCATGGTCTTAAAATCACTCAACTTATTCCACAATAGTTGATGAACACAAACTAATCCTCTTCAGACACGAAATTGTACTAAACTAATGTTGAAAAGAATATTTCTCATAAAGAAGTGCTTATATTCAGACTTGTATTGTGTTCATTGCAGATAATGTAAAAATAAGGAATTTAGTTTTTCTACTAATAACCCATTTGTTTATGGAGCAATGAAGTATGAATTTGTTTTCTAAAGGTATTTACTTTTGTCCATTACTGTATGTATTGTGATAATACAAAATGTTTTTATATACTTTTTAACAATAATGTGTAAATATCCTATTTAATGATTAAGTATAAGAATATGTTCATATTATTTTTGAATAAATATAATTTGGTCATGTAATTTAAATTTTTCCATAGACAGTTTTTTTATCTAACAATAAGCTGTTTTTCAAGGCTATCATCTTCCTGTTTCATACTGTTATATACTTCAATCTTCATATTATTCCTTTGTTTTCATAGGTACAACAAAGTTATAATTCATAATTATACCTTACATAATTAAAATCATAAATAGTGTATGCTGAGATGATAAAATTTTTGCATATTACGTGTTTGGTACAAATTTTTTGTGCCTCATTAATTTTGTTTGCATTTACTTGTTTAATGAATACTCTGTCACCATGTGGATATTTTATAATACACATCTTTATCATAAATGAAATTCAAATACATTTTTATCCGCATTCTCCTTAGCATAACTAGTGTTTTGCATAAATGATATAAAATATGTGAGGAATGAAACTATTATTTTTATGGCTGCTTTAACAAGCAATATTAATTATGGTCTTTATTGAGTAGCAGTAAATTGACTATAATTTCCTTGTTAACTCTAAACACAAAACTTTCACTATATTTTATGTTTTTATTGTATTCGTATTAATAAACTGATGACTAATGGATTTATTTTATTTCCCATATTGCAGCTTTGTTATTGTGCAAATGTTTGTATTATTTTCATTATTCTTACTCTAGATGGGTGTTTTCCAATAAATCAAACAGTTGATTTCTAGTGTATATTGGCATCTGCTTTAGTTAAATATTCACATATCAATGACATTACCACAAAGAAGCTTCTAGGCTACTCATTTTTTGTCATTTTTCTTTCTGAAATAGTAATTTTTTCTACCAATATACTAATTTTTCTGATTTTGTCCAAGATCTCCAGCCTTTGGACACCTTAGCATCCCTTCATATTCCTTGAAATCCCAACCATGTTCTAGGCAGTCAAACCTCTTTTTGATCCATTTTTTCATATATCGGAAGCAGCAATGATATTTGTCAAAAGTATTTCATACAATGTAGATATTTAAAATGTTTTCCTTCAAAACAAAATGTCACTCAACTTATATTTAACTATCCATATGATACTTGCCAAAAGGTCAACGCATAATTTCCTGTATAATTTAGAATGTTATGAGGTAGTCAGGTAATTTTGTGCTATATTTAAAACAGCTCTGTTTACTTTATGAATAACCTGGTTAGTTTGTTTTGAATGTTCTGTTTCATCATATGCCATGTGCTTTTTAATATTTGAAAGAAATTGTTAATGGAAGAACGAAATTGTCACCAAATGGTTTATTGTATCATGCAAATCACATTATATAATAAAACAAAAAACATAACTAGAAGTTTTGTGCAGGGAAATGGATGTAGTTGATGGGGCTGCTCAGTTTTTCTCCTCAGTTTTTGTGCCTTGGTCTACTTACAGTAGTGCACAAAACTATATAGACAAATATAAATATTTATCTAAATACCTTTAGAAAACGAATGCATACTGCATTGCTCCATAAACAAATGCGTTATTAGTAGAGAAACTAAATTTCTTGTTTTTACATTATCTGCAATGAACACAATACAAGTCTGAATAAAGCATTTTTTTATGAGGGACAAAAATATGTAGATAAATTCTTTTCAACATTAGTTTAGTAGAGTTTTGTGTCAGAAGAGGATTAGTTTGTGTTCATCAAGTATTGTGGAATAAGTTGAGTGATTTTAAGACCAGGCCGCGTGGTCCAGAAATTTCTTTCGATGTGAAAACTAAGTTCATTGAGTTATACAAAGATGGTCAATGTCAAGTCGACATTGCCAAAAATTTGAAGCTGAAGCGTAAAACAGTTTAGGCAATATTGAACAAATATAAACAAAAAGGTAACTTGGAAGCCTCTAAGAGATGTGATCGGCCTAGAAAACTAAATGCTAGATCAGTTAGACTAATAAAAGTAATTTCGTCCAAAGATCCGTTTACCCCAAGACAAATAAAAGCCGAAATCGAGACAAAAGGAATTGCCAGTGTTTCTACGAAAACTATAAGTAGAAGATTAAATGTTTTGAAGTTATTTGCACGTCGCCCGAGTAAGAAGCCGCTAATCTCGAGGAAAAACCGTAAGGACCGATTACAATTTGCACGGTTGCATCTTGATTGTAGCATTTCTGACTTGAAGAGGGTATGTTTCAGTGACGAATCCAAGTTCAATATGTTTGGATCAGATGGTATTCATCACGTTAGACATCCTAGTGGACAAAGATTGAGAACCCCAAGTACACTTTGTCCACTGTCAAACATGGAGGCGGGTCTGTTATGGTTTGGGGGTGCTTTTCGGGGTTTGGGTTGGGACCTTTACGTAGAATAGATGGCATTATGGATAGCTTTGTATACACAAACATACTAAAGCATGTCATGTTACCCTATATGGAAGACAATATGCCCTTGAGATCAATCTTTCAGCAAGATAATGACCCGAAGCACACTTCAAATCTCACAAAGAAATTCTTTCGGGATGAAAAAATACCAGTTCTCAAATGGCCTTCACAGTCTCCCTATATAAACCCCATTGAAAATCTATGGAAATACGTAGATAAGCAAATACAGGATAAAAATTATTCAAACAAAGATGAACTTTTTGCCTCTTTAGAGCAAAAGATGAATGTTATGTCAAGAAACTTCTACAATCTATGCCGAGACGATGCCAGGCGATGATTGATAATACTGGTTATACTACAAAATATTAACACAAACATGGTTGGTTTTGTATAATTCAATGAACTTTGCTTCTTTTTTCTATAATTGTTTTACTTTGTCTATATATTTTTGTCCTTCATAGTTCCAGTTTTTTTCAATTAATTTTTTATTGAAGGGAGTCTAATGCATTTATTTATGTATATGTGAGTATTATGCTATAACAAATTATGTATACAGGTTGGTGTATTAATAAAACAAGTTAAAAAATAAATACAGCACAATATTAATTGGTCTATATACTTTTGTCCATTACTGTATGTTAATCAATCTGATGTAGTGCATAAGACATGTATCTCAGTTGGGTCTCTCAGAAGATCAAGTATTCAAAGACTTCTTGTTACATATATTTATAATTTGGAATTTTCGCGATTCCAGTATGTTCTTCCCTGATCACAAGTATTTGAGGGAAAGTGAAATAGTAGGGGTTTATGATTATTCCCCTGGTTATTTCGTAGCGACATTTAATTCAACCATGACCATGACCCTGGGAAGAGATAGAACAGTCAATTTTATCCAGTATGACCTTGTGTGAACTTTATTTTCACCTTGAACCAAGGTCATCGTACAAATCTCAAAAATCCATTCAGTTTAACCGGGCTCTGAGGTTTTCGTGTTTTTTCTACACTTATTTTTTTTCTCGATCTACGCACCATTTTGAATCAAGCTTGATTAAATAACTTGACAACATTTTCTATTAATCGTAAATCGTAAGGAGTGCAGGTAGTTATTACATCTACACTGATTCACACGTATGATTCTTAAGTTGTATAGCGTTTGTGGTAATATACTGTATACCTTCAACAGGTGGCAAGGATTACAATACTCAAGCCGTCGAGTACTTCTCAGAGAAGCTCGCGCAGTACGGCGAAGGTACCGAAGTACCGATCCGCAGCCTTTTAGGCCACAGATCGCAGGCAAGTCCGGAAGTTCGGCACGTTTCCGGTCAGCATTTCCACGAGTTCCGGGATTTTCTGCTCAAACACCCGGAAGCGTTCTGTATAGACGACGAGAAAGAGACGGTCGTACTGACGAATTTCAAGGACGTGAAAAGTCATTGTCCACCCGAGTTGCATTTTCAGCCGGAGGTCAAGATTGATCCTCAGGAGACGCAGACTTTGCTCGATTTTTTGGCGCAGTGCATTGAGGTGAGTTTATTTAGATATACAGGGTGAAAATATCGGCCGGAGATTCGATTCTTGTTTTTGGAAGTGAATTCGCGCAGCGAAATCCAAGAGCGCTTGTATGCTGTGCACGGTGACTCTTCTCCGATGGCGACCGTCAAAAAAACTGGTTTAACGAGTTTTAACGTGGTCGCACGTCGGTATTTCATGAGCCACTCCTAGGTGCCTCGAAAATGGCCACCATGGTGGATACCGTGACAAAAATTCACGCACCGGCTCAAACTTGAAAAAGTCACTCGCTGGGCAGAAATTTGAGTCGAATAAAGAAGTTAGCGCGGCCACGGAGGCCTTTTTTACAGACCTCCAGAAAACGTATTTTTATATTTATGATATAACTTGGGTTGTTAATTTGTGTTGGTATCTCATAACAAAATCACATTTATCTTTTTTTTTTAGGTAAAAGGTCCGATTTTGGTGGAACAACTATTCCAAGTAGTTAGCTGCAACCTACCTGAAAGCATGTGGACGAATCTCTTCAATACCCCGACTCATCTCTTGAGTTTCCTTAGGCTGTTTTCAGATAGTTTCCACATTCAGTCTAACTTGGTGACACTTTTACAACCACCAAGGATCAGCCAAAAACACATTTCAGCTCAGGTTGAATTGATCAAAGAAAATCAAAGGAATAGTGAGGAATATATGAATGCGAGGAACCTAACAGACAATGAGGTAGGCGCATTGTTCGATTTGTGTATTTTCAAGGTAGCACTAACGCGATAGTGTGATGTAAAGTTTCTTGCAAGTCGTCGGGCACACCGCCACACACAACACGCCTAGCTGTAACGAAGTCAACGTGTACTTTGTGTCAGGAGTGCTGGGTTGAAAATATGTTCTAATGTTTTATGCAATTCTTTCAGGTTCTAGAGAAGAGGGAGAAACCTCTGACGCCACCAGTGGAGAAAGAGAAAACTCAAACTGTGGAAAAACTGCAGTCTGTCGAAAAAGAGAAGCCTCAAACGACTCAGTTATCACCACGTTCCATAAACGATAGGTTAAGACAGCCAAAAATGCAGCAAAAACTTACAGAGGGTCAAAATAAGGCTATGAGTCCTGAGCCGCCTATATCTCCATTGGCTGACGATAAGACCAAAGGCGTTCAGTTCCGATTGGGTAAATTTGTTTGTTTGTTTGTTGTAGATTTATTCAGCATTAATGCTACAATATACATGTTACATAGTATATAATATATTACGACTTCAATACTACATATTTTTATACAAAATTTCACTACATTGAATTCTGGTTTTCCATGAAATTTTTTTCAATTTCCCTTCAAAGATTTTCAAACTGATATCGTTATTTGATTTATTAAATTTGTACAGTACTTTTTGAAATACTGAGTTTGATATATTGCTACTAAAATTTTGTAAATGAAAGTCTATACTCCCTCTAGTAGAATAGCTATGGTACTCATTGTTAAATTCAATAAAATGTTCCAAGTGATTTGATAGATGATTCTTTAACTTGAATATGAATATGAAAAAGATTGATTTGTACAAGTCAAACTGTGGCTACAATCTAGAACTCATACACAGTGGCCGATTTGTAACTGACTGGTTTGTATCTCGAATGTTTGTGAAATGAAATAAAACACGTCCATTTTTTTCATCTTAATCTTATATTGAAACTTAGAAATCATGTATGAAAAATAATATCATACGACGCCTCTAGAAGCCGCGCTAACCCTCTTGATTACATTCTCCATCACTTGTTGGTAGGTTTCGGGAGGAATATTTTCAATCGCGTCCGTAATATTGTTCTTCAGCTGCTCTGAAGTATTTGGCTCGTTGGCATGGACCCTATTTTTAAAAAATCCTCATAAAAAAAATTCAGCAACCGTTAAATCCTGTGAACTTGGTGGCCAGTTGACATCACCAAATCGAGAAATTTAACGTCCCGGAAATATTGTTCGCAAAAGATTCGTTTCCCTAGCTGTGTGACAAGTTGCTCCGTCCTGCTGGAACCACATGTGACGAATACCCAGTTCATAACAACGATGTCTGGTAGATGTCTCAGGGCGCTCCACCACCAACTCTCGATATTTTCCGGAGTACGAACAGTTCGAACACGACCTTGGCAAGTCTTCAACTTCACCTGTTTGTTCAAAGTTCCGCACCAACTGACGAATGGTGTTGACACTGGGCACACACCAATCTTGTCTTAGCTTCCGAATCGTTGCAACAATCGACTCATTATCTAAGTAAAACTTTTTAACAATACGGACGCGTTGTGGGATCCTGTAGTACTCCATGATGAATTCGACAGGTGTGCTTTAAACAATTACTACGGCGCCATCAACTGAAATGCGTGTATAAAAAATGGCGCGCAATTTGAATCAGTCAGTTATATATTGGCCACCCTGTATCTACACATTAAGGCCAATGAAAAAATCAATGAAATCGAGGTAAAAGTATAGTTATGACATTCCAAATTTGCCAAACATTTTGCTTGTTGCGTTTATGTTGAACCTGAATGCTTGGATCATAGTGCAATTGACAAAATTGCGGGGGAAGTACAGATTCAACTTATTTGTCGCAATTTTTTTCTCAGGCAACCAAAACAGCACCAACGAGGAACAAATGATCCCCGCTCAGCCTGTTGTCCCAGAACCCCAAAAGCAAGTTGGTGCTCGCCCAGCATCGACCAATAACCAATCTTTGAAGCAAAGGATCAACAATCTGGTGCTGAAAACGTTGCAGGAAAACACGGGCAAAGAACGGCAAAGTTACATGAACAATCAGCTACATAATGATTCATGGCGCACTAAAGTGTTTCAGAGTACCCGGGTGATATGCAGCACCAGGGAATGTCAGATGGTTATTGATGAGATCATTAATAGGGCGCCCAGAAATACGGATCCTGCTTGGCCGTTTACTGCTGACAGGTAAAAGGAACATTTTTTATATGGATCGTTACTGTCAGTGTAACCGACATTATTCCTCCTCATTCTATATTCTACAGGGTGTAAACGTTATGATAGTCATTATGTAAATGGGTGATAGACGTAAAATGCAAACAATTAAAAAAAACGAACTTACCACTTCTGTCTCAGCGCTTCACCTGGTGTGTGAAAGTTCATTGAACGTATTAAAAAAATTCACTTATAAATAGGGAATACAACTTTGATATATACATTGTTTTTTTTAAAACCCACACTGCACTTTTTTGTATTTAACCCTTTCCGTTCTACTGGTCGATCCATGCAACCACCTATATTAAAACACGTAATTGCAGTCCTACTGGTCGGGTAGCCTTACCGCTGTTTAAAACTATTACCGTTAGTGACATCTATCGGGAAAAAAATTGACGGCTCTGCCCCGTGCGAGGAAGTGTGTATTCCGTGAAGTTTCTTTATCCATTGCGAAGTTTCCGCGTGTGTCTTTTATCGGCTGTTTGTAAACGTGAACACACTGAGTGAAAATTGAAATGACACGTCAGTATTTGGTTTTACAATTGTAATATTTCATACCTTCCGACTCAATTGATCAATTTACCATCTGACAGGGTTTTGTTCCATGTAATATGTAGTCGTTTCTTGAGGTAACCACTAGGACTGTAAACGGTCATTTATTTTTTTTACAGAAAAAAATAAATGGAGTGGATACAAAGTTTGGGTGCGGGCTGATGATTCAGGGTATATTTGCGAATTTCAAATATATTCTGGTAAGATTGGTGACTTGCCACTATTTTTCAAGTGTTCCACTGCTCATCTACTTGAAACAAAATGGAATTATGTGGTTGTGGCACTTTGAGAAAAGGGAAAAAATATTTGCCAGATGACTCTAGCGATGATAAAAAACTAGCGCGAGGCCAATATGACTGGAGAATGACAAATGATATGTTGGTATGTCTAAAATGAAAAGACAAAAAACCTGTTTATTTCTTGTCAAATTACCATAACAATCAATAGAAAGAATAAAGATGGAACTGTGTCAGAAGTAACTTGTCCGTCTTTGGTTGTGGATTACAATAAACATATGGGTGCCGTAGATAAGGCGGACATGCTAAAAGAATGCTACGCGATAGATCGAAAAAGCAAGAAGTGGTACCATAGGATAGTTTGTCACTTTGTCGATACTACGGTAGTCAACGCGTACATTTTGTTTCAAAAACGCTGCTGCGGTTCGACTCTCGATTTGAAACAGTTCAGAATAAATGTCTCTTCAGGACTTGCGTCGGGATGTATTACCAAGAAAAAAGGTCGAAAATCAATGGAACCCATAAAGCATTATATAAAATACGTTCCCATTGAAAAAAGGACAGAAAAATCTGCTCACATGCCTATATATGGAACTTCCAGACGATGCGCCATGTGCAGGAAGCAGGAAGCTCATAGGAATATGTGGGATTGCACGATTTGCGATGTAGGTTTATGCCTGAATGACAAGAGAAATTGTTTTCTTGCATATCATAATGTCGATTAGCCTCATGTTGTGGAAAGATAATGCTTTGTTTCTTTGGTAAAAGTTTTTGTTTGGTGGTCCTACTGGTTCGTTCGGGTGACCACTTTTTCAAAAAAATATGTGTAATACATTTTTTTCACAAAATGTTTGACGTTTTTTTACATCCTTTAGGTTCGGAACTAGGTTTATGAAGTGAAAATCCTAAAATTATTCAATTCCGGACACAAAGGGTTAAAGAAGGTGTTCAAAATGTCGTCTTCCACTTTCCACACAAGCTTCAATACGACGAATCCAGTTTCTTCTTACTCTAGGTCCTCGAAGTTGTCCATTTATTATTTCAGCCGCATTAAATTTTTTTTTGCGAAGTTGTGCTGCAGTTGTTATTGGACCAGCCCCATAAACCATCCCTTTAAGTTCTCCCCAATACCAGAAATCCAGTGGATTGAGGTCAGGAGATCTTGCTGGCCATTTTCGAGGATCAGGAACATTTCAACCGATCCAGCGATTTGGATAATGTTCATTCAAATACTGAATGACGCCTCTACAAATGTGTGGTGGTGCCCCGTCATGAAGAAACCACAAATTCTGTCTCCGTTGTAATGGCATGTTGTCTAAGGTCTGTTCCAAAAGTTACGGTAGGTTATTGCCTAGAAGGCTAAGGTATTGTTCTCCTGACACCTTTGGGGGTAACTCGAACGAGCCAATTACCTGATCGTCAAGAATACCCGCCCAAATATTTATTTTAAAACGTTGTTGAAAATGACCTTCACGAATGGTATGAGGATTTTCTTGGGCCCACGTGTGAGTATTATGGAAATTTAATATCCCGCATCGCGTAAAAGTACATTCGTCCGTCGCTAGAATGTTTTTAAAGAAATCCGGATTTTCAATGTTTTTGTGCAAAAACCACTGACAGAATGTTAGTCTGCGAGGATAGTTTTCTGGTAACAACGCCTGCACTCGTTGTACATGGTAGGGATAAAGCAAATTTTCCCGTAGGTTTCTATGGACTATGGTATGCGATAGTCCTAGGCGGCGGCCTAATTCCCGAGTGCTGATATCTGCATTGATTTTCACGATATTTAAAATTTGTTCCTCCTGCTCAACAGTAACCTGTCTTTCACGAGTGCGAATATTAGTGGGCTGAACTCTTCCTGTATCTCGAAGTCTTTGGTACACTTGTACAAATGCCCTTCTGTCTGGATGTACCCGTTGGCGAAATCTGTCGCGATAAATTTGAGTTGCAAGATTTGAATTCTGACAAGCTTCACCGCAAACTAACAACATGTCGGCGAACTCTTGATTCGAGAACATTGTATTAAACACGACGACGGCGACGTACGCGAACAAAAACAAAACAACGTACTAACCACTGTTACCGTTTGCGATCGATTGCCGGTTTGATAAGAGTGATGAAAAACCGACGCGCTGTTGTCATGCGTCTTTTAAATATTTAATTTAATGAAACTTACTTACTGAATAACAATTTTGGCTTAACTTAGAAAAACTTAATGCTAAACGTTTTAGATTAGATTATAAAAATTAGTAAGATTGTGGTCGATATAAAGTTGTATGACTGCCATAACGTTTACACCCTGTATATCATTTTGTTTTTGGAAGTGGTCTACTTCTATTATTTTCAAAAAAGACAATATGTCTTCACATTATTACAGGGCCGTGATTGGATTTGACTGTGAAGGCATCAATCTTGGCGTCAAGGGACAGCTTACTCTAATGCAAATTGCTACGATGAATGGTCAAGCATTCGTCTTCGATTTGATATCATGCCCACAAATGATCGACTATGGATTGAGAAGGTTACTGGAATCTCTGGATGTTGTAAAGGTGAGGACATCATTACAATTTTCAGAATTATTTTGTAACTATAATTTTTTTAGATTGTCCATGACTGTAGGAACGATGCAGTCAACCTCTACAACCAATTCAATATTACCTTGAAGACAGTATTTGACACGCAAGCTGCTCATGCGATCATATGTTATCAGGAAACGAATAGACCTGTGTACAAAGCCAAAAGTGTAGCTTTAAATGCCTTGTGCGAATGTTATGGAGCGCCGGTTAACCCTATAAAGGATCAGCTCAAAAATATATACAGGTGAATATTTAGTATTTTCTAGGGATGCAACGGGTCCTACTTTCTTCAAAGAGCCGAGTACCCGGTACTCGCTCCGATTACAATACCGAGTACCGGGTACTCGATGGAGTTGGCTCTGTGTTATTTCAGCTACTGTTGCTGATTTTTTTACACCGGAGCAGCCGCGCAGGCAGAAGCCTAAACGCCAGCGCACTGCGGCTGCAATGAGGATCTTGAACCTTGTTTTTGAACTGCCAAAGGTTAGTAGAACCCTAGGGACAAAGAAGCGGACTTATCGGCCAGTTCTGAAATTCGACGCGGTTAGGATGAGAACCAGAAGTTAGGCGGGTCTGCTTGGCAGATACATCAGGCGGCAGCGATAGAAGAGAGGTAGACCGCCAACGCGAAAGAGTCCCGAGACTGTCCATTAGAGACTCAGTCTGTCAGCCTTGCTCTTAACAGCAGCGAGCATGGATAATGTAGTCGGGGCGGCAGCACCCCAAACATTTGAGCAGTACTCGAGGCTAGCTCTTATCTGTGCCTTGTACAGAGTGAGGAGGTCATGAGGAGAAAACTGTCTCTTACCCCTAAACAAATATCCTAACTTTTCCCAACATCTGCCGCTATTGAGATGTGTTCGTGCCATATCAAGTCCTCGGTGACCTGGACTCCGACCAGCCGAAATGAACGACTCTAAAAGTCAGACCCCCATCGAAGCCGGATGAGCGCTAGTTCGCTTTTTGTTCGATAAGGTACCGTGTTTTGGAAGCATGAAACTGTACAAGATTTTTGCGTGATAGCCTCCAGGTCTCTCGTCAGAGAGAAAGTCGCCACTCGTCTTCTTTTCTCCAGCTCACCAGTAGAGATCAGCTTGCCATTCTGAATTCCTGCATGTAGAGTACTGTCATCTGCGAATGAAGGTCGTTGATATCTAAGAGGAACTGTGTCGGAGCCATTACCGATCCCTGGGGACCACCCGCGTTGACGTTGTGGGATGAAGAGGAGAACCCGTCAATTACGTCTGATATCTTGCGGCCAGAGGGACTATTAACCACCCATCTGCAAAGCTTCTATGGGAGGCCGTAGAATATAATTTTGCATCAGAGGCCAGCATTTCACAGCTGATGGAACGGTTATATATCAAGAGTAACGACATGAGCCTCACTATAAGACTGCATGAGTTTACTCACGTGACGTAAGCTGGAACCATACTGCTTGTGGTTAATCTACCTTCTGCACCTCTGCATCTCATCCTAACTCTTTATATCCTTTCTTTTCAGGAGGGATCAAAAATATTGGTCCAGGAGGCCACTGACTAGAGAAATGGTCTTGTACGCTTCTGCTGATGTTTTGAGTTTGGTGCACGAAAAGTTGTACTATAATTTGTCCAGGGCTATTAAAGAGGAGAATAGGCCGCTAATGATGGAACTTTGTGAAGAACAGGTAATTTTTGGGTAACAAATAAAAAAACTCAGTTTGTTGTTTATGTTAATATTTCAGATTTATATGCATATTTCTCCGGAAACTATAAAATTGAAGAAAAGACAAAGAAAAACAGAAACTGAGGTAGCTGAATTGAGAGTGAAATTAGCGCAAGCGACTAAAAGTGTGGTTTTAAGTAACAGAGAAGTTAGACTACTCAGGTATGTTTGTTTAGCTGCTTTACGCAATATCATATACCTGGTGTTTCAAGTTCTTTACTCATTATTGGGATACGAAGTCGCTTAAATGGGGGCAAAGTTGCGCACTTTGGTAACTCAGTTCCACGATTCCTGGTATTTCTGGAGACAAAAGAAATCGAATTTTCCCAAAATCGTTTTTATTTTTCCCTGGCTTTATTTGAGATGGGATCTCAAAATAAACATTACTTACCACTTTTCCTCCTCTACAAGGTGGCATGACTAGAATTCAATTCCACGTTTCGGGTCTTTTGTCATTAATTTTTTTATAGACGCCCAATTGCGTTTTTGCTCAGTTGAATAGATTTTTTAATTCTGATTCCAGAAAGACCCTACATTGGCGTATAATCTGTGTTGACTTTGTTAAATCTGTTATTTCAAAAAAAGTAATATTTTCACAGTTGGCCTTGAAAATGGCAGTTTATCACATGTTTATCTGATTGAATCACCATTGCACGAAGACTAGAGATAGGAGGTTAAATTGCGTATTCGTATGAAGCCAGTCATGTCGCCAAGGAGGGCGTGGCTTTCGGAAATCTAGTGCGCGTTCAACATGGCGTAGAGCGTCTGCGACTTTTGATATCCTATGGAAAATTAGAGACCACATTCCACTAAAACAACTTATACTTATAAATTTTACCCGCATTTGCAGTATCTTGTGTCAATTTGGGACACTGCATGAAAATAAAATCAAACTTTCACTTTCCAAAAAAATTCATCACCAAACGGTATAAATCTCGAATAGCTGAAAAAAGTATCTGCTGCAGCGGAATTAAACTATTTATATAATAGACTTCCTTAGTCTTTAAAGGCCGCGTCGCCGCCTTTTCTGTCCTTAAGAAAGGCTGGAGTATGTCTAGATTTCTACTGTTCCGTGGCAGCGACAGCGCTCTCCTATTGTGAGGGTATGTTGCCTTTTTGAATTGTAGGACATTTCAGGCTATATAACAGATTATTTAAATTAAAAGCATGAACAACTTAATTCAAATGAATATTTGTAACATAACCTCAACATAGAGCGCTGACACGGAACAGTAGAAATCTAGAAGTACCACAGCCTTTTTGAAGGAGAGAAAATACTATGAAAATCACGGAGGCCATAAAGGCGTCCTACAATTGTAGGAACGACTGACGATACGACCCTAAAACAAAACATCCTCAACATTTCAAAATGAAATTAAATAAAATACTTATTCAATCTGTAATATAGTGCCAATATTGATTTAAATGTTCAATTGTACTATTTTATTCGTGAGTGCTATTTTGTGATTTAAATTGTCCTTCTATACAATTGTAAAAGTGTCTTGGGATTAATAAAATTATTATATAATTTGAAACACCCGGTATATATCACAATGGACTAAAAAATTCCAGCAGAAAATACCCAATCCAATTAAAAGTCACATCTTCACGAAAATGTACACTGTTGGGACAAGTTATGTAATTTCTGCGTTCGTCCTGGAGAAATTCTGTGAATACAAAATCTTTTGGAATAATTATAATAAGGGGGATTGAGGGGTGATCTTTCTTGGAAGGTTGATGTTGAGTTTAAGAATAAAACATTTTTTTAAAAGGATAATGTTTTACTTGGCAACATGGCTGTGACGATGGAAATTGAATATGAATGTCCAAATATAATGTAGGGTTGGTCATCTTCTTGGAGAATAACTGAGTCAATCTACTCGACCCAATTCTTTCTAGGTACATTGAGCTGACAGACGACGAAAAGGAGAAACTAAAATCATCAGCAAAAGTGGCGAAGAAGCTAGAAAAATTGGAAAGTTTAGGCCAAGAACGAGATGGTGATTCATCTGATGACGAAAGGGAAAATGATCAAGATTATCCTAGTCTCGATAGTGACGTTGCATCTCCTAGAAACTCTGAACCGACTAGTCTGACAGAATCTATGCAACTTGTCGATTCCATCCTCAGTGACAACAAAATTGACAGGTAAGCCTAGACCATGCTGATGAGTTGCCAAATAGCACGAAACAGCTGTCCATGGTTTGCCATCCGTGGTAATAAAGGGAGTGCCAGTAAGTACTTTTGGCGGTTTGACCCCAGCTTTCAACAAGTTGACTCTGATATTTTATATTGTGCATTTGTTATCTAGAGATCCGCTTAATTATGGATCGTTTTCTGCCGGAGGAATGGATAGAAATTGTCATACGTATTCAAATAGTTCACTCATTTTTTTCACGAAAATTACGATGGTGGGGCGGTAAACATTCTTGGCATGTTCTGATTCGATTTGTTACAGAATCTTGTTCAAAAAGGATTTCTTTTAACCCTTAGGTTTGCAAGCTCAAAATTACGCCAAACATTATATAAACAATTATTTAAACAAAATCTAAAAATTGTTATTTTCACTGGAGTCCTGTTAAGTTTTCTGGATCACTCTGAACGAAAAAAGATTCAATGGACTTTTTCAAAAGTTGACAGTTTTCGAGATGATTTAACATTTGAAAAAGTGCAAAGCATATCAGTGGATATCATTTGCCACTGGATACTCTGCTTGAGCGTGAGAGATATGCAGTGCTTGAATTAAAAACCGAAGATCTAGAAAAACAATCCCCTAAAATACTTGGGCGCTTATTAATGGGTGTTTGAAGAGTATTTAAGAACTTTGGCGACATTCGTTCTTTCATATTGTTTTTCGGGGTGGTAGAAAATGGCATATTCCGCATTTTTTCAAATACTAAACGTCGAATTCTCGAAAACTGTCAGCTTTAGAAAAAGTTCATAAGAAACTTTTTTGTTTACACTAAAACCAAGTCCAATATAGAGTTGATTTAAACATAGTCATGCACTGCGTACACGTATCTCGAAGGCTGACGGTTTGTACAGAGTCGTAATCAGCACCTTTTTGCGATGATTCAATGATGCCAAACGATTTATCGATTGCGGATGCTATATCTTAGAAAAAAATCTTCATGACTGTGACTGAAGTAAAATATGGCAGATCTATAACAAAATGTGGCCACTATGTGCACTATAAAAGACTTCCATTGGATTTTCCATAAATCATAAACGCCATTTGAAAAGGAATGTAATCATTTTAATTCTACGTACAACTATTAACATTGTTTATCAGAATGTTGAACTTGAACTGTCATTCTCATCACTTGTATCATTCTGGCCAAATTCAATTATCAGTGGTTGGACTTGTCTTTCTAAAATATTATCGAGCTCCCACATCTTTGTCTCGACTTTTGTTATCACATGCCGAACACACTTGTCCCATTTCTCGGCTCCGATTCTGCTTAGGGCTTCATCAAAAAGTACCTTGAGGTCGGCAAATTTATACGTAGTGTTATGTTGTGCCACAAAGTTTTTAACATCCGCCCATACGAGCTCGATGGGATTTAGCTCACAGTGATATGGGGGCAGACGAAGGACTGTTTTGTTATAGCCTGCTGCCATCTCATCTACTGCATATGTTTCGTATGCAGCCTTATGCTCTTTGGCAATTTTCAATAACTGGACTCTTAGCATTGAGTCCTCAAAGCTGATATTCTTTGCTCGCAACCAATTTTGTATTTCAACTTTTTTCCATGACGTCGTCGGGATTTTCTCTATTCGTCGAGAATGGTATGGCGCATTGTCCAAGTACAATTACTGAGTTGTCTTCCAGGTATGGTAGGGCATTGAAAACCACTTTTCGGAAGATTCCCCGTTCATTTCTTCATGGTAATCACCTGTTTTCTTTGACTCGAAACACCACAGCCCTTCAGCAACAAACCCATTCTCATTGCCAATATGACAAACAATTAGTCTTTTTCCTTTACCTGGAAGTGAGAACTGGTATGTATCTTAATAAAACACCATAGTGATAAAATACACACTTGAAATCGGATTTTTTGAAATTCGGAAGAATAAACTGGCCTCCGTCGAGATTTGAACTCGAGACCTTCTGCTTTACGCACAGATGCTCTACCACTGAGCTACAGATGCCTGACAGCCCAGATGGCAGAACTTCATTGTAAGATACAGAAATGCCCTCCTAGATGAGGTCACGGTTTCATCGACCCATACCTTAGGAGTAGTATGACCATCATTAACCCAGGTTTCATCCAAATAATAAATTGTCCTTTTTTGCTCCCTATATTTTTTGATTTCGGTCAAATATTCTCTGATCCAGATTATGAGTTCTTCCCTATCCAACAGTAAACTATTGCGTCCTCGTTTCTTCCATTTGAAATTTAAATGTTTTAACAATTTACTAAATGTAGACCGCTTGAACCTAGGAAACATAACATCTTCATTTACTTGTGTGAGTACTTTTTACCGTGGGTATTTCATTTCTAAAAAAGTATTCATGCACTTTCCTCCTTATTGCATGTTTATCAGCCTCATCTATCGATTTTATAATGCTTGGGCGATTTTGATTTGTCTTAGGTTTGGAAATTGTATGATTGGCTTTATATTCCCTCAAAACATTAAAAATCGAAGCGCGACATACTCCAACTCTATCAGCAACTTTCGAAGCGACGTCTTCGACCGAGGATGTTCCATCTTCCTCTATCTCCTTCTTGAACACATTCAAAATAACCTCTTTCATCTCGATACTCAAATGTCTTCTTTTCGATCGTTTTCTAACTGGACTCAAGCAACAACTCACAGTCTCGTCAGCAGTATCTGTACTGGAAATCTTGGATTACAGATCACAGTAATATACAGGATGTTTCAGATTATTGTTGCATAACTTTAAGATTCGATAGAACTTTTGAAATTAATGCATAAAGTCTATATAAACATGGGTCGAAAAATGCGTGGCTTCCGAAATACAGGGTGTTTAAATTTACTTTCTAAAATAGTTTTTTTAAATATTTCGAACAATATTTGATGTATAACAGTGAAACTTGGTATACGAGGGTTTTTTGGTACGACAAAACGAACCATGGGCATAGTTTTACTGTAGCCGCTAGAGGGCGCTCTCTACTGTACCTGTAGTGTATTAAAATGACCGAAAAAATTTTCTTAGTGCAATTTTTTGCTTTTTGAATAAAAAACTGATTCTTCGCACTTTTCAACATAAAAAAGCTCTCCTGTGAGTTTTCGTTATAGTTAGCCGTTTTTGAGATATTTCGATTTTTAAGGTCGATGCATTTTTAATTATTTATGAGAAAATAATATTTTTTTTACATTTTCGATTTGGGCATTACAAGTAATTAAGATGATCGTTTAGATTGTGTTTTTAAACACAGCAATAATTCCTAACTCCAAATAAACACAAAAAACAGAATATTAATTTGTTTAATTTTCCAATATTATTTTTAACAATTTAAATTAATTATTTACAACTAAAATGCTATTGGATAGTTAGGACAAACATACAAAATCTAAAGTAGTTGCTCGAAATGTAAACCCAATTGTTCAATACATAATTCACATCTACGAATGATCGAACGTGGTATAGCATTATTCAAATAAGGCCTTATTTCATCACATGCATTCCTGATTCTGTCTATTAGCATATCTCTTGTGGTTACGGGAGTCTGGTACACTTTTTCTTTTAGAAATCCCCACACAAAGAAATCTAATGGATTTAGGTCAGGGGGTCGTGGAGGCCAGGCGACTGATCCTCCACGGCCGATCCATCTTTCTGGATAATTTTCATCCAGCCAGTTTCTAACTATTCTCGAATAATGAGCTGGACAACCATTAAGCTGGAACCAGGCCAATCTTCTTAAATCTAACATAACATCATCCCACATATTTGCATGTTCAGCCTTTAAAAATTCCAAGAAGGTCGCAGCATTTAACCTTGCAGGAAAAAAGGTAGGGTCCAAATAGTCGATTACGGTAGATACCAATCCACACGTTCACACTAAATTCATGCTGAAAATTTATTTCCCGAACTGCATGAGGATTTTCATGCGACCAAATATGTTGATTATGAAAATTTACCACTCCACGTCTAGTGAAGCATGACTCATCTGTCCATAAAACGTTACTTAAAAACTCCCTATTATTATCAGTTCTATGAAGAATCCACTGACAAAATGTGATTATTCGTTCTCCGTCCCCTGGCTGTAGTCCTTGCACAGGTTGCAAATGGTAAGGACATCTATGGTCATTTCTAAGAACACGGTGAACATGGCTTGCTGAAATTCCCAAGGCACCAGAAACTAATAACACTTGCGGTCGGATCTCTATCAAACTCACGCAGAATCATACGGGAAAATCTACGCTGACGAACATTTATGTTTTGATCCCTTTGGAGATTTCAAAAACCATTTTCAATTATTTGGCGATGCACTCTTACAAATACTGAGCGAGTTGGATGTCGTCTGTTTGGAAATCTTCGTGCGTATTCTCTGGCTGCTTCTGCTGCGTTTCCATTTACAAAGCCATACACAAAATGAATATCCGCTAACTCTTGATTGGAGAATAAAAATGGCATTTTTATAAAACTTACAAAAAAAAAACAGGTAAAAGAAACTAAATTTCGTGCATTCACAATTGCAAAAAAACGTTTCAGGTTTCAACAGACAACAAAACTAACTGTCAACTAATTGACGTTTAACCTTATTCTGCTTTCAATTTCAAAAATATTTGCAGGCACAGCCTACTTCTAAAAATTATCGAGATACTGACTTTTTAACGTTATTTTATCATAAATAATTAAAAATGCATCGAACCTTAAAAATCGAAATATCTCAAAAACGGCTAACTATAACGAAAATTCACAAGAGAGCTTTTTTATGTTGAAAAGTGCGAAGAATTAGTTTTTTTATTCAAAAAGCAAAAAATTGCACTAAGAAAATTTTTTCGGTCATTTTAATACACTACAGGCACAGTAGAGAGCGCCCTCTAGCGGCTACAGTAAAACTATGCCCATGGTTCGTTTTGTCGTACCAAAAAACCCTTGTATACCAACTTTCACTGTTATACATCAAATATTGTTCGAAATATTTAAAAAAACTATTTTAGAAAGTAAATTTAAACACCCTGTATTTCGGAAGCCACGCATTTTTCGACCCATGTTTATATAGACTTTATGCATTAATTTTAAAAGTTCTATCGAATCTTAAAGTTACGCAACAATAAACTGAAACACCCTGTATAACAATAAGAAATGATAATGACTATAAAAAATCCAGCAAATACAATAACAAAAGCAAATGAAAACCGCGAAATGAAGAAATACTAAAAAAGCAGGATGCACTCCAACACGCCACGCAAACGCCTGATTGCGACTCTGTATTACGGTTGCTCCCGTACTGACGCGGCAGCGGTACGGCGGCACCGCGGCGCACCAATGAATTGACCAATGAGCGCTGCCGTGTCCACCTGTTGCTGGCCGATCACGTGAATATCACAATTGGCGTTTGTTATGTTCAACTCTGTGTTGGACTTGGTTTTAGTATAGAATGGACTGAAATGCATTAAAAGTTGTATCTAGTTCGCTCCAAAAAAACAAATTTTTGAAATTTTGTTAAAAAAGTGGTTTAATGATTTTTCACGCAGCACTATGCGGATTACTTAAAAGCATTCTTTTTGACCAACGTGTTTAAACGTGGTTACTTTTCTTGCAGGTTCGATAAGATCGATAAGTTGGAATCGATCCTGAGCTCCGTGGCGCTGCTGTCAAGCGGAGAGAGCGATTCTTTAGGCAAGTGTTGCAAATGCGGTTGCCACAACGGTTTCAGTAACGGTCTGAAACCGGAAAGAGTTGTATCTCCAACTGACATAGAATACATCAGCTGCGTCAAAGACACTGATCCTGAATATGTCAAGGAGAACCACAGGAATACTGGCACGCAGACACTTAGTACAGGGGATGTGGTGGTTACTAAGGTCTCCTTCCACATGGATGGGGAGTAACAAATACGTAGGATGGAGATGATAGAAGTTTTTAGATTATGTTTGTGTACTCTCCGCAGGTTCTCTTTGTGCATAAGGCTGAGGTCACACGTTAAGCGCTGAGGTGGGACGCAAGGATGAAAAGAGGTCATATAGGATTCTTGATGGTGAGACAAGTTATTATGAAAATAACGCAAAGCAACTTTAGACATTTTGAAATTCGTGTGGTCAAGGTTTAGGTGAAATTGTTGCTCATCTTGGATCACTGTCAAAAGAGCAAATTCTGAAGACTTAAGTTTTGCTGGACTTTGCATTGTTGTGTATTTCGTTAGGCGGATGTCACAGTAGATCTCTTTAGAATGCTCCAATTACAGTGAATCTAATATTTTTCAAGAGTTTTACCACTTGCCTAACGCGTGTTTCCTTAAATATTTGAGCTCATTTAGATTGAAACTCTAATCATATATAATAATAATCGTCTTTATTGGGAATATGCCATACAAATGGACATACACTCCAAAAGGTGGAGTTCATATAAATGTGTTCTTCCACTCAACCCTGAAATAGCAAAGAGACAAAAATACAGCTGCAAGGTGTGCAATAAAACCAACCACTGAATGACAAATACAATTAGAATTTATACGAAGGCATACGAGGCCGGTCCGATAAGTACTTAGCCTACAAAACAAAAACGAAAATTGTGGACAAGTGGCGATTTATTTTTCAACAGTCTCCTCCACTTGTAACATAAGCCGTAGCATTTTTTTTAAGGACGACAGTGTCAAAGACTGGGGTTCCATAGGCAACTGATTATAGATCTTTTATATACAATATGTAAAAGATCGTTTATCAAACAAGTTCCATTACTTTACACTGGAACATCTACAGAAATTTAATTTCTAATGTGCTCACCTCTAGGAACCCCATAAATAAGACGTTCATGAATTTTGCATAAGCTGAATTCGATCACTGTCAGGTTTGGTTATGCACCCCAAGGATCAGAAACAGAAAGTACCAATCACATTGAGTACGTTTATAAATAAGCTTTAATTTCGGAAATGATGCTCTAATTTTATTCATAACTTAGCGAAAGTCCCTATCAATTTATACGCCAAGATTATCATTTTTAACTAAAGGTATCAGCTTCCATCTATTTCTATGCCCAGAATTAGATACATGATTTCCAGACTTATTTCTTACAAAACACGTACAGTCTTCGATTTAACAGGATTTAGAACCAGGCTTTGATTTTTTGAGGCTACACTAAAGCCTTCAAGCCTTCATTAACTTGTCTCTATTATTTGTTAAACGGGTTCATACTTAAAGAGCATATAAACTTGGACGCCGTCGGTATACCCGCGAGTAGAGCAGGTTTTAAGATATGAGTGCAACTAATATGTGTAAACATTATACAGAAGAGGCCCTAAAATAGAACCTTGGGGTACTCCACTGAGGACAAGTTAATATAACGTGTCTGGTGTTCAATAAAACGGTTTGGCGAGTGGTAAAACTCTGTTCTAGTGACCTTCAGTGCAGCCCCAGCTTAACTTTTTCTTCGGAGGGCTAGATGAAAAAAGTTTCGCAGATATCTGAAAGTTTTAAATGGAAGTGGAGTCTTTCTAATGACAAATACATGAAAAGTCCAAAATTCAGTATTTTGCTTGTATAATTTTTAAATTAAATTTTATAAATAGTCGGTAAACTGGAGATTTTAGGGCATAAAAAGACCTTCAATTTTATTTTTTAAGAAGTTAAAATCGATAAACAATCAGATAAATACGGGGCTTTTTAGCAATATTGAATAAATGTTTATAACTATTGGGATAGCAACTGAAAATGGCTTAAATTTTGTGAGAATGTGGGCATCGTTGGTGTTAATATGTGTGCTAAATTTCAGCCGGATCGTTTTATTAGTTTATGTAAAAAGCTAATTGTTTATCCCAGAGACGAATTATTCAAACAACTGTTCTTGTCCAAGATATGATCCTAGAATACTTTACAAAAGTGAAATGGATTGTTGAAGGTTTCAACTTCAAGAATTCATGCAAAAAATTAATTTGTTAAAAATAGCCATTTTTATGGTTATAAACATTTACAATAACTCCATCATTTTTCAATATACATAATTATTTTAACAAGTTGATCTGGATAGGTGGTTAAAAAATGCATATTTTTAAAAAATGTCTTCTACCAATAGGAGCCAAGATTTTTTTAAATTCATATCTCCTTTTATTTTCATGTTATTTTATCTTTAAATGATTTGCGATACATGCACTTCTTTCGTAATACGAGCAAATAATACATTCAAATTGTATAATTTGCCACCAGTACTAAATTTTCAGCTTTTCCCATTGTTTATAAAAAAACAATGCATATCTGGCTGTATCTTTTTAAGTATTTATCATTAGAACAACTTTGAGATATCTGCTAAACTTTTTTAGCCTGGGCTATATGTCCCTATTGGAAAGACTTTGAAAGAGGGGTTCTCAGCCTTTGTTTTTAATAATAGAAACCAAAAACGTGTAACTTATGTTGCACTCCATTCTAAGGGATGTACTTATGCATATTTTGAGTTTAATCTCTTTGTCTGTTTAGTTGAACATTTACGGCGAAAGCATAGTGCTAGATGTAAGCTTTATTTTTTTGTATTAGTGAGCTTTTCTGCTAAACAGATAAAATTATAGAATGTATGTGGAAATTTTAACAGAAAAAAGGATTTTACATTGGCACTGGATATAAAATTCCTATAGGATATCTTGCTCAATATTTTATCTGCTTTATAACTCTGTAAAGTATTTTTCCCTGATAACACAGTAGGTAAAGCAGACATATTTTTTTCAATGTAAAAATGTGCTCAACAAAGTTTTATTTTGTTAGTTAGAAATTTTATATATTGCAGCTTGTATATCACAATCCTATTTTTCATTATAAGTATCGCCAAATATTTTGTGTGAAAAATGGATTGGTATATGGTTTGATTTTATTCGCAAATCGATATGGTACTTAATAGAAGAATGCATAATTGAGCAATATTTGTGAATGTGATTGTTTTATATAGAAGGATTAGCAGTGGTTTTTTACACAAATTGGCGTTTTTATTGAATTTTATTTATACACGTTATAATGTTTGTAATTGTAATGAAAAAAAAAACATTTCCAACAATTGATTGTATATATTACATTCCGGTATCAACCCTCAAAATTCACGAATTTTTACATAATTACCTTGGTGCCTTTTATAAATATTCTACAACTAACCCATATGAAACATATAGCTAGAAGACTGAAATTGGGTCAAAGTATTCTTCATTCCCTTTTGTTATTGTCAGTCTTGTTTAACATAAAACTGCTTAACAGAAACCTTAAAGTTTATTGTCATGGTTTTCATTACTATAACATAACAGCTCAAATAATTCAAATGTATACTACGAGTATAAAAAAACGGTAAATTTTTTGTTATTTCAAAGTGCCTAATGAATTTTTTCTTTTCACGTAATTCGGTACACTTTTCGGTAATTTCAATAGATTTTTGGGTTTTTGTTCCAGTTATTTAGTATGATGTTTAGAGGCAATATTAACTCTTTATATTTGTTTACAGTCCAGATTTTTATCTGGTATATATTGTGCTCTTACCCAAAGGTGGTATGTTATATTTTATGTTGATATCGCAGACTAATATTTTTACACAGGAAGCTTATTTTTCCGGCAATTTTATTAACAATTATATAATATATAGCAGAATATGTTGCTGCCATATTTATCAATTTATTGTTAACAAAAAGTTATTAATTTATTAAAAAGTGATAGCGCTAGTGCAGTTTGATTATGCATAGCACTTTTTTATTGTGAAACATTTTAATCGTATTTTTTTGTATAAAAGTATATAATCATAGTCTTTTATCTTAACTAGCTTAAGATATCTCAAGACTATTAACCCATTGTTTTATCGAAAAAAGCAATATTCATGTATTTTTAACATACATTTTGTTTGCTGGTAGAGGTTCTATTATTATTTATCCTGTTTGTAATGATATTAAACACAAAAAATAAAGAGAACAAACAGAATTAACATTGGTTTCATTTTGTTTCCCTCATATTTGTGGTGTGGCAACTGAGTTCAAAGACGAAATTACAGGGTGTCTCATTTTTAATCATTGTATATTTTTTTGGATGATATATCACATGCACATTACGAAAAATCATGTCACTAATTTCCGTCGATCGCTAATCCTTGGCCCGTCCATTACGTGAAAAATACTGCTCGGATCACACAAGGCTACTACTATGCTAAGGACGAAAAAAAAGTCCAAAATCAAAAAATTAAAAATCGCTCTAACTTCGTCTTTTGACATTTTAGAAGACCCTGATCATTTTTGAAAAAATTTTTGGGGGTAACTTCTAACCTCAGTAATTCAAGGCGCTATTAGGCATATTTCACACAAATTACCCCATATATTTGCCCTTAAGACTTGAAAGGTCACTATCCGCTGTTCGCTCTCGGGCGATCGCCCACACAACGAATTTTTACCTGAACAGCTGAGAAGAGGTCAACGATGTCTCGTCGATGAAACGATTATCAGGATAACTGGGCTTCCATAATGACATTATTTTGTGAACAGCAGCGATCAGTTTTTTATGATGCATCATTATTTAACCAGGCTACTTGCCTTCACGCGGTATAGCTTATAAGGCAGCGCCAAGCCTACGCCAGTATGCGTACCTGCATTAAATCATTGATTTACATATTCTGCTATGTTAATCAACTATTGAATCCAGTGATATCGGCCAAAATAACCCTACCCAAATATTTGCCTTATGACCATTAATCTCTGAGCTAGCCAAAGAACATGTTTCATCCTCATTAGAGGTCATCAGTACGATATATCGCGCTGGACGACAGAAGCAGTGAAACCATTGTCTGCACAAGGTGATTTGGGGTCACATTTTACTCATAAACACCTGCCTGGAAAAGGGATTATTTCCAGTATCATGGAAAGAAACATTAGTACTACTTCTATCTAAAATAAATAAACCAACAATTATTAGAAAAATCAATGTACGCCCAAATTTACTATTATCTCTCTAAACATAAGATTTTGCCTCCAAACAATCCGTTTATCGAAAAGGATATAACGCTGCAGGTGCCCTATTAGATTTAACTGATAACATTGTTAGAGCCTGTGGCCAACAGATGATTACATCATTAGTTTTTCTTTTACTTCTCTAAAGCATTCGGTTCCATAAATCGATATCTTCTCGTAGCCAAGTGTAAGTATTTTGGTTTTTCTAATTCTTCCTCCAATATTGACATGGTTTTATCTTCAAAGTGCATCATTTCACGGATCCGTACTTGGGCCACTCCTATTCTTTTCGTATACTTCTGATTAGCATGCCGTTGTTAAATATTGCAATATCCAATTCTTTGCCGGCGATTCACGAATCTAGTCATTTCCATAATCACAGCATTCAAAGTCCTGAGTCTGAGGTAAATTTTACTTGATCAGCAGCGAAATATTTTGAAACAAAATGTGTTAATTGACCTTATGTTTTCTTTCTGCCTCTACATCAATTATCCTTTATTATTGTTGTTATTGTATATAGGTATTAATGTTTAACAAAATTTTAGTTTTTAAACATCTCGAATTGTTTAGATATAGTATCTAAATCTCACCTCCTGTAACGTTATTACAAATAAAAAGACGTTAAATAATTATTATTAACTTTAGACGAATAGTAAATTTTATACCACATGTAAATAATATCAGTAAGAGTTGTTTTCCATTCTCCGTCAATTGCATCTTAATAAACAATTTCTTAACTATACAACTAACAAAAAATTGTGGGAATCTTTGGTAATTTACAAAATTAGTTATTATGATGTAGTTTATCATCCTTTTCTCGACGCAATATCTCTCACATGTCTACAGAAAATCCAGAATTCATGTTGTAGGTCGATCAATAATTTGAAAAAATACGGTCATATCAGCTCTTTTTCTCAAAGACATGGAATGGTTGAGATTAAAAGAACTGTGTGAGCTACACTTAGTTACTTACACCCATATTCTTTTGCTCTCATCCATTTCCCCCGTTTTTGAAAAATAAGCTGATATCTAGTTACATTAGATGCACGGAAAAAACACAATTCGCTTCATAGGACATCATTCTCTCGTAAATGCTTCACCTACAACGTAGTTATTTTTTACAATGGTATACCTCGAGCCACAAAATTATATCATATGTGCTAAATACTTTTGAGTAACTGTCACCATGTATGATTTTAAAACCTGAAATATTGAATATCTGTCACTCACTTATATTTCATATACATCATAATTTTATACACCTACATTTTTAACTTACTTGAAACTGAAAGAATGTTTTTATCTTTTTGTATTCTGATCCACTTTTCTTGGGGTTAAGTGGCAGAGTGGCATTATGATATTTGCCCCCTAATAAAGACGATTTATTATTATAATTGAAGGCACAAATGGAAAAACATTTGTTTAAAATTGCTTTTTTGCAAAACTTAAGGAGTGATTATTTCATTCTTTGTTGCAAAAACAAGATAATAACAAACTAATTAAACTAAAAATTTCAATTTTTTCCATACAATGATTTTGCTACATGATACCTTTATCCACTTGAAGGATACCGGGGAATAACGACAATAGTCCATCCGGACTGATTTTGAGAAAATTAAGGTTTACTTACTTGTTGAAAAGTAAAATTGATGACAAAATAAGTCGTAAAGAATATCTTTGCTAAGCAGTGTATTTATTGATGGTAAAATAGATAATACAAAATGAACTTTTACTCAAAACTAGAAACGTAACAAACAAAAGATAATGTGCAACTCTGGATTCGTGCCACTTTTCCCCTGCTTTAAGCGTCTATTGGCGGGTCTTCGACATATTCTTCACTGCTGTATTCTGGATGATCAAGAGATATTAACTGTTAATAAAATGTCCTAGAATCTGCTCTCTCTAGAAATTTGGATAGATCTGCAGATCCTTCCATTTATTACTTTTAATTCGGATTGGGCCCTGGTAAAGTTGTCTCAATGTTTCCTCTTCTCGTTTTTGTTGATCTTTTTGCGTCTTTTTTAGATTACCTTATCAAGTTTAGAACTAGCATATAGGTCCAGGTATGTCGATTTGTGAAAAACTACGTGAGGATTGTGTTTACAAAACTTGAGCATCCTGACTGGTCGGGTTGGAAAGGGGCACTTCGTTGGATAAAACGGCGATAAAAATGTACTCCAATCTTGAAAATCAAATTTTTTGCCACAATCAATGACTTCAAATGGTGTAGGTTTCACACGGCAATTTTTCAATTCATCTCTCCAGTCATCCGGTACCTCAGTGTATGCTCTTTGATAACAAAGTAATGCAAAAACCGAATAACTGTAAAATTTTTTTTTTGCCTTGCACAGGAGTCACAGAAAATGGGAAGTTCTTTTACTTCCATAGGGTTTTATAAAAAACGTGATACAGCATAAAACAGACATGGTCAGCTCCTTTCTTAGCAATAGATTCATCGTGGGTATAAAAGATAGAATTTGAGTTTGACAGAATGTGGATGTTAAAAATTGTTGAAATTGAGTTGCCGCTTCTCTTTAGAGTGTAAAATCGCTCACTCCTTTTTTGATGTAGTGTCTTCTCAAGTATCTTTTTCTCCAAATTATTACTTGCTGACTGCCTAGTTTGTTCCGTCTGGGAATTTAAGGTGAGTGAAGGTATATCAGCTTTTAAGGAATCACACGTACTACTAGTATGTTTTCTTGGACAACCGAACGATATATTGAAGTTGTTTTCAAAGATTTCTCGGAAGGATTCATAGGAAATCTTGTTTTCAGCATTGCCAATAGAATACATTTTATGTAATTTTGCGATATTTAGATTTTCAGGTAGGTACGGGAGATGCAACGCCGCCTTTCCATATGGACTGATGCCGTTTTTCCATACACACGCAGGGACTCATGCCATTCTTTCCCGGCACAAGAAATCTTATAGCTGTTGTTTTGTGACCCTAAGCCCTTTTTACAATTTAAGAAGCTGATTACAAGATAGCATCAGGAAAATGCCACCATAATAAACTGAAAGCTCAATTTAGCCAATAATGGACTAATGCCGTTTTTCCGCGGTACCCTTCACTAGTGTCTTCAATTATTAATGGCTGCAACTATAATCACCCATCATTGAAAAAAAAACACACGTTTCGATTGTAAGTTTTATTCACAGAATCAAATATACAGTTACCAAGAAAAATATTTCCTGATCTAAAGCTATAGTATCACCATTTTTTGTTTCCATTTGTTTTCAAGTCGTTATTGTGGTTTAGTCCAGTATCTTCAATATTTTCACTCCAATCATCCCAGTGAGGTTCAATCAAATTGAGTAGCTTCCTTTTAGCGACGAGATTCTTTGCTATTTCCATATCTGGAGCCAAGAATCGATCTGTGTCCAAAGCTTCTATTCCCGCATCTCTGACTAACTGAAATACGCTTTCGATAGGTTTGGTTGACCTCATTGGTCGATGTAGTTCTAGGCCTTGTATCGCAGTCATCAGTTCAATTCCCAAAATGTATTCTACGTTAGCTAGAACTTGGAGACATTTCCTGGCTGCCCAGTTGCCCATAGAAACGTGATCTTCTTTAGCGGCATTTGTAGGCACTGAATCAGCCGTTGCTGGATGACATAACGTTTTGTTTTCGCTAACCAGAGCAGCTTGTGTTGTTTGAGGAATCATAAGGCCTGAATTGAACCCTCCGTCTTTCACTAAGAATCCAGGTAGGCCATTCAAATGCCTGTTGAGCATTTGCTCTGTGCGCCTTTCAGAAATAGAGCCAAGTTCGCTGACAGCTATTGTCAAGTAGTCCAAGGCTTTGCCTGGATATTCTCCATGGAAGTTACCTCCACTTAAAACTGTCTTGGTATCGCAGAACACCAGCGGGTTATCTGTCGCGCTGTTCATTTCAGTTTCTAGAACTTCTTTAACGAACCTCAGGGTATCGTAGACAATGCCATGTACTTGAGGCGCACATCTTATGGAGTAAGCGTCTTGAACCTTTTTGCAATCTTTGTGCGAATTTGAGATCTCCGAAGGAAATATAACGCTGTTTAGCAAAGACCTGATGTGCCTTGCTGAAATTTGCTGTCCAGGATGAGGACGAACCCTGTGAATCTGCGAGGAAAATGCATTCACAGTTCCTTTCAACACTTCCACTGATAAGCTGGTGATTATATCTGCGCATCTGACTAGGTTCTCTGCTCTATGGATAGCTTCGGCTCCCAGGCAGACAATCATTTGAGTACCGTTGATCAAAGATAAACCTTCTCTTGGTTTGAGTTTCAACGTAGGCAGGTCATATTTGTCGATCACGGTTTTGGCAGGTTGCCAAGAGCCTAGTTCTGGGTCCCACATATCACCTTCTCCTAACATTCCAAGTGCCAGATGTGCCAAAGGTGCCAAATCACCGCTAGCACCCACAGATCCTTGTTCTGGGACTTTTGAGACGCACCCTGCGTTACAGAATGCTATTATGTGGTTTAGCGTCTCTCTGCTTATTCCACTGTGACCTAAAAAGAAAGGGTAGGTTAGATTGACACAAATAATGATACTTTTGTTTGCTTCAGCGCGAGGGCGGATTCAGGATTTTGTCTAGGGGGGGGGCAAACGATATTTGGGGCTGGTCATTTTTTAACCTCAGTGGAACTTCTAGAATTTATCCTATTATTGCTCCTTAAATCGATTGTCTTGTCAAGGTCAGCTTGAAAAAAAAATGGAAATTGCTCAGAAATCCTCAGAAAGCCAATATTTTATTATATGAAAACAAAATAAAAGTACGTGGCATTTATAATTATAATATTAAAGATTCAAACATAAAACACTTCATTGCTCTGTTAACCGACAAAAAATAAATAAAACATTCTTAGGTACCCTGAGACATATCGCAGTCCATTCCACACAAGTTTCTTTGATTGCGAAAACGAACATGATACCAAAAAATTCACATCGTATGGACGCTAGACAAAACAAAGACCATCTATAGATCGTGTCTTGAGACCGTCTCCAGACTGCCTATAGACAATTTGCGCAACGGGGTCTACTAGTATGTAGTAAGCTTAAGGATTAAGACTCTGAACTGCACATTAAACAAATCAAGGAAGTGGTGTAAATACTGACAATCAAGCACTTCTATTATATCAGCAGTATGAGGCATGTACTCGTATTCCTCCATTCCGACGTGGATAATTTCCGTTATCGAAGATCAGACAGCCGACGCATCCGCGTCATAGAAACAGACATTTCTCCAAGTAAAGGTAGACAAGTCTCTGATCCCCTCCCAGTCGGCAGGTCCGTAATGCCAAATTTTGCGGCCTGTGCGAGTTTCTGCTAAAACAGCGGGTTCTGACCGAAACCTAACCTCCACAACACAGTGGTCTGAGTTACCCAGACAGGACAGCAGAGCTGTAAGGGACAGGAAGCGTGGTCAGAAAGAGATCCAGCAGGATATTGGCATGTGACGAGACGCGGGGCAAAAAAGTAGGGCCCGTGACCAGCTGGGTCAACCCTTGGAAAAAGCTATAGGGTGGTACCGCCTTGGTCAACTGGTCCTTGTCTACCACCTTCTTTTTGCGTGTTAATGATATTAAATAGAATTCAAGTGGTCCGTTGGCGGACTTGTACCGCCACCCGGTAATCGGTTCTGAGGTATTCCTTAAAGCGTGTACAATCACTTGTACGGGAAGAAGTTGTTTGCTGGATACAACAACTTCCGGAACAAGCATTTGCTACGGCCCCGCTCAGTAGGGGTTTAGGTTTTTGAAATTCAATATAGATGTTACAGTTATTTTTCAGACTTTCGTTATCGAACTTAATAGATTTACGGCTTAGTTGTTTTCTCAGTTTTCGAACCGGTGTTGATCGCATATACTATAGAAATGTTGGAAATCCTTGGAAAAAACTATATCTATTAGATCGTAATTATTTTGATAATGTGTATGTTTGTAATAAACAAGTACAGGAATACAGGGCTGTACATATTCACGTATAGTGCAGCAGCTCTGTGATTTAATCGAATTCAATATAGCAACATAAATAGACACATACGCGAGAAGAGATGCGGGACGTGTGGTATTGATTTTGAGCATCGATCGACGCAGTTTCTAGACAGGTCAAAGGCGCACCGCTAAACAAATCTTATAAATGTCTATTTCCAATTTAGGCATTCATCTAACATAGTGCTTCGCTGTAACACCAACCCCGAACAAAATCAGTCAAGCTTTACACTCTTATCAAATTACTATTGAGCAACAAACAGAACATAAATCACTTCTCTATAGCTAACATATTACCCAGACTAAGGCCTGTATCGTCAGTCGTCCCTACAATTGTAGGGCGCCTTCATGGCCTCCTTGATTGTCATACTCCTTTCTCTCCTTCAAAAATTTCTAGATTACACTTGTCCCGTGTCAGCGTCAGCGCTCTCCTATTGTGAAGATATGTTTTCTTTTTAAATTGTAGGAAATTTCAGGCTGATAAAACATGATATAACTCAAAAGCAAGCACAATTTGATGCAAATAGATGTTTGTGACATAACCTCAAAATAGAGTTCTGACACGGAGAAGTAGAAAACTATGACAATCAAGGAGGCCATAAAGGCGCCCTACAATTGTAGGGACGACTGACGATACGGGCCTTAGATTTGTCACAAGTCACAATACCTCGTATATACGTATAAATCGTAAGAGTTGTGCTGTAAACAAGTGATGTCAAAGAGGGACAGCATTTGGAATACCAAAGGATACCAAAAAAACATAATGCTCAGTTCCTATAGCTATAACTTATAGTTAGCATGCCTCTGCCACGATGATGTGACAGAAAGTAAACACAATGGTGTTAGATAGCAAAAGCAAATGTCAGACGTCTAAATCCGCCAGTGCTTCAGCAGTATACAAAAATGGCGTAAAGTAGGTTTTCTCGGTACAGCCCATGCAACGTTGTGATCAGCTTATAAGATTGTGTTCGGTGTTAGCTCCTTTTAGAAAGAAGTTAACTACAGACATGTATTTTAAAGAAATCCAACAGATTAATCAGTCAATGACAATGTCTATAGGACCCCCTTGAGAAGAATACGACCGGCGGGGTTATTACGTAAAAAAACTATATGATGTAAAAAAACGATAAAATGTCAACTTTTTGGCTAGGCAGCTGCTAGCATGTAAATAGTTCATTCTGCGCCTGCTACAAAAATGAGTTTGAAGTGAACGATAGCTAGTTCCAAGTTGGCATCTTGTAGGAAAACCTACATACTGTCACAGAAAATCTACATAAACCGATGTCACTTTTCCAGTTACGTAATACCCCTGCGGATGCATCCGAGGTCGACTGGATCTAGACCTAGTTTCCTTCCTGGCGAGATCTTCAGTTTTCGTTCGTACGTTCTGTCGTATAACGGGGAAATATACAGGGAAATCTAAGCGAGAAATATGCCTTACAGGTGCGTATAATTATCGAGGTTACAAGTGTATAAATATACTATCGCCCAAAAATAGAGATCCTCTTACAACCGTCCACACCCAACTACTTAGCCTTCAAAATGTTCTCAGAAAAGAACATGGACCTCCGAACGTTAAAAAACCAAGTCCTGGCGATATTTATTTTTTCCGTTTTTCGTCCCAGCTCCATTGCCACTGTGGATTTTCAAAAACTACAAACGCTAGCTAGCTAGTAGTAACCTTGTTTCAAAATTTCATCAAAATTCGAGCGGTAATTTCCAAATTATTGAGGGGGTTAAGGATTAGCGAACGCACAGACAGACAGACCGACGGAAATGACATGTTTTTTCGTAACGTGTACCACGGTATGTAACGTCCAAAACACCTATTTCATTTTCGAAAATCGATAACCACTATCGTACGTATTTTGGATCACTGAAACCAAATACGAACTCATTCTGAATGTATCTGGTCCCGTTTGTCATGTATATCATTTTAGGCGAAACATTGCAGAATATGCGATGCAATTCCGCTATCCGTAATAGGCAAGAGGTGACGCTAAATTCGAATACTCGTATTATCGTGAAACAAATCTGAAATGACGTGGCGCCAAATTTGCCTTAAAAAATATTAAATATTACCGTTTTTATGATTATATCATCCTCCCTGCATTTTCTCAGGGCGCAAATCTCAATAATGTCAAAAAATGCAGACAAAAATAATTTTTACAGAACAGATTTTAGTTTTTGAAACGTATTTGGTCTCAGAGTACCTGAAAAAGGCGAGGCGTCTCATTGACTACAAAATTTGCTTTTCATCTCTACCACATAGATATTTGGTTCATGTCTATTTCCCTTGGAATTAGTTCGTACGAATACATCAGCCCTATCGTCGCGAAACACTATACAGGGTGTCTCAAAAGTCTACATCAAACTGGAAACGGGGCATAGGCCAAAACCTGTACTTTTCAAATAAATTGAAAATAAGGAAAAATATACACCCTGTGATGATCTTTTATCCACTCGATTTTTTTACTATAGAGCGGTAAAAAGTTTACTCAAAGCCAATCGAAATTTTAGCTGAGCTACAGGAGCAGAATAACGGAAGCAGATGAATTTGTTAATATAGTCGAAATCACGAAAGATGACGATTACGTCATCATTTTAGTCTGTAGTAAAGACAAACGACAGCGATTTGTGAATATATTTAATGAAGTTTGTGATAAAATAAACAGAATTTTATTGTCTAAACAAACTCTATTGCTAATTTTCATGTATCCGACAAAGATAGAGGATGTTTTCATGTTGCATGATCCATTATATTTGAAAGATGAATAGTTAGGTTATGTTAAAGCAGGTTATGTTGTTATCGAATAATACTTTGGTCTCTCTTGTTCCTGTCTTAAGGTATTTTACTCATAACTGTTTTTTTCAAGACAAAAACTCGCCACTAAAGTTATTATTAAGGTATCACTCAAAACCATGAAATAAAATGAAAATAAAAACAATCAGTTAAATAAATTAACTTCGCAAAATCATAATATAAATGTGTTGTCATTATGTTCCTGAGATCGTGATTTTATCATCGACGTACGTCCATTGATTACTTCAGTACAATTTAGGGTATGACGTAATAGTCATCTTTCGTGATTTTGACTATAGCGGAGGACTTGCCCGTCTGATAACGTAATCATTTTTAAGAAGAAGCTTGCATTGCTGCTGAAAAGGCAATTTGAACATTTAATGTAAATTTAATAAATAGATACATTCACGAATTAATAGAAGTGTTCCTCACTACGTCTAAGAAAAAATTGAAATGTATGGTAATGGGAACTAAAATATCATCGCAATGGGTAGATTTTGCTGATCTTTCCGATTTTTTTAAAGCCTATGATTTGAAAAGTACATGACTCAGATTTTTTTATATTTTTCTGATAACTATTATGACTTGGCCCACTTCCCACTGTATACAAATACTTTTATTTTTACATTATTACTTACACCGTTTAATGTCGACCTTTTTTTCTTTATATAAAATCCTTGCTAATAGCTCCCATGATTTGATTCTAACAACCGAAAGTTAAAACGGCTAACAGCAGGGAAGAACCATAAATGGAATCCGTAGGAATTTTTCTTAGGGAGTGGCGATCGTAGGCAAGAGATATTTTTTGTTAAAGTGCATCTGACTCCAAAAGTTTGGGGGGTACCAAATTTTCTTAATGGGGAGCAAATTTTGAAAATCTAAACGGATTCTCAAGGAAGGACGCGATGAGAACTCTAGTGCTCAAAGTAGTTGGTTTTTTATACTGTCCTTTGGCGCGATTTCGGATGATTTACCAATAATTTTCAATGCTTCAAGATTACACTAAACATCATACAACTCCATACAGCACACGGTGATAAATACCTTTTGCGAACAGATTCAGCCTAAGAATCAGCATCCTCTTGACCCTTTCTGGACTCAAAGGTTTTCCGACTCCTGCGGCATGTGACCTGATGATGTTGTTCTGCAGCACCAGCAGCTTTTTCGGACTTATAACAACTTCGGAAAAACTGCCTAGTCCCGTATTGACTCCATATACAGGTCTTTCTTCAGCTAAAATCGTCTCTATAAACTCTCTGGATTCATCAACTCTTTGCCAAGATGTATCGCTCAGTTTAACTTCTGTTTTAAGCGTTGCGGAAACTAGGTCTTCTATAGTGAGGTTGTTTCCGTTGAGGTACAGGGTGTTTAACATCTTCATTTTGGATGTTTACGATTTGGGAATGTGGAGTGAAGTGACTGTTTTCAATTGGATGCAAACTGCTTTTAAAGTAATTGTAAAAGTGATAATCTTACCGAACGGAGATAATGGTGTGTAAAAGGTGAACACATAATTGGGATCAATTATTTCTGTGTTTACAGTTCTGTGTTGAAACACACACATTGTGTTCGCTGAAATAATATACAAGGTGCTCCAAGGTAGATTTGGGAATTCAACATTTAAATAAATCTAAAATGAAGCACTATAATTGACTGCTAATTTTTAACTTCCGACGCACAAAACGAGAGATGTTATAATAAGGGGCCAATCCACGGTTATAACAACTTGATAGACAAAAACTGATTTGGTATTTCACACTACACGGATTGAATAACTATATGTTTTCATACGCGATATATTCCGTCATCCCGCAGGGGTATTACGTAACTTGAAAAGTGACATTGTCTTTTTTTTGTCGACATGTAGGTTTTGTGTGACATTATATAGCGTTTCCTACAATATGTCAAGCAGAAAATAGCTGTCGTTCACTTGATGGTCACATGTAGCAAGCGCGGCAACTATTTGCACACTACCAGCTATGTAGTCAACAAGTTGACATTTTATCGTTTTTTGCATTATACAGTTTCTTTACGTAATAACCTTGTCTTGTCAGTGTCTTTTCCTAGGACACCTTAAAGACAGAATTCCACATATTAACTAAAAACAGCATTTCTCATAGGGCGCCCTACGAGGGATGTCTTTTAATTTTTGCATATAGAAACATAGTAGGCCGCGCGGATCGAACGTCAGTACTGAATCTTAACCTCACTCTTTAGTAAACTTAAATTCAAAGTTTCACAAAAATACGTGCAGTGTACAGTGAATTTTTAAGTGTCACTAAGTCATTAGAAAAATGAAACTCAACCGAGAACATTTTCGCGCCATAATTTATTACAACTTTCAGAGACAATTATCGCAACAAGAATGCCTTGCTGAGTTACTGTCTGTTTTCGGCAACGAAGCGCCACATCAGTCGACAATTTCCCGTTGGTATGGAGAATTCAAACGTGGACGGTCACCCAGGAAAACGTCGATGCTGTGCGCAAACTCATCATTGAATATAGACATGTGACATATCGAGATTGAGGCGTCCTTGAAGATCTCAAAGTCCTCAATTCAAAAAATTTTACATGAAGAATTAGGAGTAAGAAAATTAGTTTCTCGTTGGATACCCCACCTGTTGACTGAAGAGCAGAAAGCAGCCAGGGTTAATTGATGTCAAAAAACGGTTAACCGTTTCAATTCCGGAAACTCAAAACATTTGTACAGCATTGTTAGTGGTGATGAATCGTGGATTTACTGTTATGAACTAGAAAATAAACGACAGTCGGCTGTTTGGGTGTTTCAAGGTGAAGAAAAGCCAATAAAAGTCATCCGTTCTCGAAGTGTTTCGAAACAGATGGTCGCGACAATTGTGTCAAAAGCGGGTCATATTGCAACAATTCCTCTTAATGAGCCAAGAACTGTTAGTGCGGACTGGTATACCACCATTTGTTTGCCAAAAGTCATCACCGAGCTTCGAAAAATCAACCCCGAAACTTCTTTCGGGATTCTTCAATCATCCTGCACCAAGACAATGCAAGCTCGCACACAGCCCAAAATTCAAGGCAGTATTTAACGGAAGAAAACGTGAAATTATTGGACCATCCTCCATATAGTCCCGATCTAAGTCCTAACGATTTCTTTACTTTCCCGAAAATTAAAAACAGACTGCGTGGTCAACGGTTCCAGTCACCAGAAGAAGCAGTTGACGCATTCAAAAATGCCGTTTCGGATCTGCCAGCAAACGAGTGGAATAACTGCTTCAAAAATTGGTTCAAGCGCATGCAGATGTGTATTAATCTTCGTGGAGAATACTTCGAAAACCAATAAAGTCATTTAAAACTACCTACCGTGTTGTTTTATTTCCATATGCAAAACTTATTACGTATTAGAAAATTGATAAAGCGTGTGGTCCAAACGTTTTTGGATGTTGCTGGTGATACTAAACTTGCATTTAGTACCATATCTCTGAAAGGGTGTGGATCTTCGAACTTCGGATACAAGCAGCAATTAATGTTAAAGAAAGTGTTTGCTACATTAACAGTTTATTGCTCCAACACTCCGTTGTTGTAAACTAGCTATAATCTAAAACACATGCAGACCAATACGCGCAATAATCCAGATGCGTTCTAGCTACTCTGCTACTCAATCAATTTCCTGTCCCAGAGATATACTCTACACACTCTCTCTCTCGGTGTTCTGCAACCAACAAAGCATGATGGGGAGCTGACTTGCAGCTGGTCATTGAGCGAGTCGTTGAGTCATTTCTCCACAGATGACGCTCATAGGGAGCAGTAGAGGAATGAACTATTTGTACACTAGGAACTATCTAATTGTTTCACGATTCAAGAGTAGCAAGGTAATTTTACTCTGAGATACATCAACATATGCCTTTTTCTTGTAAACAATGGCAGACTTGAGCGTCTAGGGGGGGGGGGGCTTATAACTGCAATCCCTCAAGCCATTTATTAACCTACCCAGGTAGAATACGTTAATTAATCCTCAGAGTCATGATAGCTCTGACCATCACTCAAATTTAGCCGGATTTGTCGGCATTTGAAATTTTGACCTCTTGTATCCATGTAAAGCGCGTTTGGCGGGTGGCATACATGATCTTTTCTTTTAATTTTTTTTTCAGTACCGTTCATGAGATTCCAGTGGTAGTAGCTGAATTTGAATCGCCCGGTATATGGGTATAAAAATCAAAATAATTATTTGTTTTTCCATTTGTGGTTAAATAACTAATAAAAGATTACTTCTGAAAACGTTTCCTATATTTTGCTCGGAAAAGTTTTGTATTAAAAACCAAGGTCTCTGAAATTGATCGACCTGGGAGACTAGAATCATAATATATATATGCATAGGAAGCTTCAAAATATGGACTTCTATTCTTTTACGTGTTACAAGTGAAAATGCGAAGACTTACTAAACACCCATAGGCGACAGCAGGGGAGCGCAAGAGGAAGGTGTGGTCTAGACGCGGATTCAGGGGGCAACGTTACCATTGCCACCCCGCAAGACCTCAGAAGGCTAGGGAAAAGACAGTGAAGATTGGGGTTCCCCGTGTATCTTAAGGCCCCCACCCCTCAGGGATGCATGGTAAACATGTTATATGACATGTACATCACGAAAAACCATGTCACTAATTGCCGTCTTGTCCGTCTGTTCGCTAACTTGAGAAGTACCGCTCGGATTTCGATGAAATGTTTACACACTGTTACTAGTATGTCAAAAACCCAAAAGCTTTGTAGTTTTTTAAAATCGGTCCAGTGGACGCCGAGAAAAATGCCAAAAACAAAGAAAAAAATCGTTTTTTGACGTTTTAGCCGTTTTGGAAAAGCCCAAGCCCAGTAATTGTTCGCACATATTAGGCATATTTCACTCATCATAGGTGTACCCGTGCATTTACAATTAAAATTTAGAAATATCTACTGTCGGGTGTCGATACGTGAGACGTGGTCCCCCGATGGACAAGCGTCGTCGTCAGTGGTCGTATGTCACAGTCGGCAATCGCTTCCGCACCGCTTTGAACTGTGCTATTCCTCTCAGAGGTAGGAGGAAGATCATTTAATGTTTTGTTATACGTACTCGTAGGTAACTTTTTTCACAGAAGGGCTAGCTTGTTCCAAAGATAATCCTTTACGAACTGATGCCAGCGTTGCGTGGGAATTACACAGTCAATTTACTTGACGCCATCTCTTAAAAATAACTTTAATGGGTATTATATCGATATCTAATAAGTTACCAATAAACACATTCTCAAATCTGTGACTTTTGTAAAAATGTATCCTAATTTATTTCAAACGCTTAACGAAAATCATAGATACATCATCAGAAACGCTAATGTAGCTGTTGAAACTTATCCTGAACGCACTGCTTGTGGGGCGTCATTCTCACATCCTCAATTCTTCAGGAGCATTTGGATACACCCAGTGATTATTTTTGCGAGCGATTGTACATCATATCGACGTCATATCCACGTTATACGGACGTCATATCTACTTTGTATATGGTCTTCTTTAGTCAAAATCACGAAAGATATCATAAATTGTACTGAAGTAATCAATGGACGTAAGTCGATGATAAAATCACGAATCAGGAACATAATGACAACAAATTTATAGGTTATTTCACTGTAGTAAAGACAAACCTCAGCGATTTGTGAATATTTTGAATGAATTTTCAAATATGTTAGACAGAGACAAACAGAATTTTATTGTCTAAACAAACTGTATTGCTAATTTGTATGTACCCGACAAAGATAGACGATGTTTTCATGTTGTATGATCGATCATATTTGAAAGATGAATAGTTAGGTTATGTTAAAGCAGGTTAGGCTGTTTTCGAATAATAATTTGGTCTTTGGTGTTAATGTCTTAAGGTGTATTCACTCATAACTGTTTTTTCAAAACAAAAACTCCCCACTCAGCTTATTACTAAGGTATCACTTAAAACCATTAAATAAAATGAAAATAAAAATAATCAGTGAAATAACCTAACTTCGCAAAATCATAACAAAAATTCATGACATCGTGATTTTATCATCGACGTACGTCCATTGATTACTTCAGTACAATTTATGGTATGACGTAATAGCCATCTTTCGTGATTTTGACTGTATACGATATACTATGATGTCATATAATGGCGTCAATTGGGTGTGACATTAGATCGTCATAATGACGTCATTTTTGTTGGTCGGCGTACGTCAGTAGCGCCCTAAAAATGCCGTCACTATGTTCACTAGGTACATGTGGCTGTTTGGTAGGAAGATGAGGCGAAATTTTACCTCCAACTGTCCCGCTGGTAACGCCTTAACCCTTCTCTGAACAAAATTATTAGCTTGTACATCCATTCATAGAGATACTATCTGCAGATATTCAAAGTACACATGACACTTCTGACATTTCCACAGTAACATTCCATCTTCAGGGATCAACGTGAAGGTTTTATGCATTACGCATATATATTATAAATGACTCTTTGTAAAATAGAACAATAGGAAGATACAAACAGATAATGCAAGAAATTAATCCTTTGAAAAATGTCATGCCTTGGAAAACTACACAGCAAATATTTTAAAATCACAAATCTGTATAAGATACCAAAAGTAAATATTTCCTGTATGCTTTTTTTATGGGATGACTGTTAGTGCGGGATACATTTTATTATTCCTGAGTATCCCTGAAAGCGAAGTCTAATAACAGCCGTATCGTGATTGCTAAGACCTGATATTACGCAAGGAAGTTTTACTTTTTCTCTATATTCATTGTTTTTTAAATGGCCAAGGCTCGCAAAGTTGGATTTTTTGTCAAACATTTATCCATCTTCGAACGTTAAACTTTTTTAACTATTTTATAAACTATTTTTATACGAAAGCATGTCGCCACACTTCCCACAATAAATCCATATACTGTGACAAGAATAAGTAGTACTGTTGGCGCCATCTATTG